GACGGAGTCTCTTGGGTGAAGGTCATACAACAGTTTTTCTATTTTGCACACGTTTTATGGAGGAGGAAGCAGACAATTTTGGCAGCTAATAATTCTATAACCTTAGAAGCTAATTGTTGAACTTTTTTGCAGGACTCATTATGCCCACTCCTTCAAGTGGTTTCTTCGATACCATCATGCAGACATATTAAAGAAACATGTCAGAGGAAATTCTCCATGAACTTCGACTATTGTACTAGTGCGAGCGCTGATGTTGTCATGTTAGACGATACAACTTTCAGCAATATAATTCAGGTGTGTCTACCTTGAGTAGTTAAATTTATTGATCTGATTTTATGCACAAGGATTGACATAGCTGCATATTAGGTATAATCTAGTTTGAGGATGTCTGCACATCAGTTATTAACGACTAAAGCTGGAAAATCCTCTGCAAGAGTAATGTCACGCAGGCAAAGCTGTGGCTTGGAATGCTAGTCAAAATTAACAATTGTTGGACGAATGTGTTTTGTGGAAGCCATACATGGATATGGAATTAAAGAAATGAATAAAGGTTCAGGAGATAGCTGCGACTTATGGATTGGACCATGTTTTTTTTTGATATTAGAACCATAGATATTATTTCCCACATTTGTAGCGCTAATTTTTTTTCAAGTAATAGCTAAAACTTCAAATCCATCAGACAAAAGGTTTGGCATGATTTACTTTACAACAATAGGTTGTTAAGCCTCGTGATGTCTTCCTGTAATATCACCTCACCTTGATTTAACATTTCATTGTTTATATTTGAGTTTTGCAGCATCCAGATTTGACTGTTACATCTGAAGAGAAAGTTCTCAATGCAATCCTAATGTTTGGCATGAAAACTCAAGAGCTAGTTGCATGGGAAGTGGTGGATGAGTTGATGATAAATTCAAAACCTGAACTTCTTTTTGGTGAGAGGCTTCAGTTAGTTCATGGCTTGTTGCCATTTGTGAGATTTCCGCTACTTCCATATTCCTTGCTTAAAAAGGTGCTAGACTTTGGATGTTAATGTATTTTGGATAGTTTACACCAATGGGATATGCTTACTATAAACGATACCATTGTGTCTATTGTGCAGTTGCAGAGTAGCAACATTAGCAGACACATTCTTGTGTTTCAAAATCTTGTAAGTTTGTTGTCTTCTCCTGGTGAATTGTTTCAGGCCATGTGTAACGTTCTCTAGAATATAGTTTCTTAGTAATTGTTCTACTCTATTGATTACAGGTTAATGAGGCTCTTAATTTTGTTGAAAGTGGACTGGCAAGCCCAGAAAATAAAGAAAAGTAAGTTCATAAAAATTTTGAATGTGGATCGAATCCCAACTTTTTATTATGGATCTCATTTTTAGGGGAAGTTAGCTTACAATGGGTCACTCTTTAGTTTTAGATTCCTTCACAGACGATCTAGTTACAAAGAGCTCCAGTATATATGTGATGGAGACGGCAACGGAGTCTTATATTTTGCAGGCACATCATATGGAGAACACCAGTGGGTTAATCCTGTTTTGGCAAAGGTAGATCATCTAAATCATTTTTCTTTTAATCATTTTCTCCTTTTATGTTATTGGATCTACACACACTTATCCTAGCCCCTAAGTAACAAATTCCTTTTGGCAGACAATTACCATCACGGCTAGCAGTCCCCACTCAAGATACACTGACCCGAAGGTGTTGGTCTCAAGAACTTACCAGGTAATGTATGCAGAATTATTTTCTCCAACTGACTGTTGAGAAGTTTCTCCAAGTGTGCTTGAACTTTGCTTGCCTGTCACAGGGAACATCTTTTGCAGGGCCTCGATTGGAAAACGGACATAATTGTGCCTGGTGGATGGTTGACCTTGGCCAAAATCATCAGGTATAGTGATATGCTGATCCTATACTTTTCAAGGATTTTTTTTTTTTTGGGTTGGTCATAGGCGCATGCATTCTATTTTGATCATAGTCGATTGGCATAAAATATGACGGTGCCTGAACTAATGATAGCATGGGCTATAGCTATACCTTTTCTTCTTTTTGGCCAAATAGCTATACCTTGTTACGTTTAGGATACATGGTAAGCTTGTACCTTTAAGTTGCTTTTAATCCAGTCTGAGAATCTTGCTTCAGATGTCCCTTTTTTTTTCATTTGGCGGGTTAGGAAAAAAAGTGAAAAATATTGAGAATTTTATATGATCTTGAAGATTCATCTGCCAGATTCATGGTTAATGGGAATTATTTTCTCCAGCAAGAGGTTGGGAGTAAGATGCAATCAAAGATTATGACCGGTACATTTCACTTGCGTAGAAGTTAATAACATCCTTTTTTAAGGAATACCTTTTGAGGGAGCTAGATAGATGACAGTAGGCCTACCAAGCCCATGCAGTTAGTGGGTCGGCTGGCATAGGAGAGACGCTGCAGCGCGCCCGGCACCTAAGTTTCATGAATAATGTGTAATATGAATATAAGCATAGCACTGTTGATCAATATAGATGATAGTTAACAGCTTTTAAAAATCTAGAACTTCTCATAACAAAGCATGTGCTATCTGTAAATTTAACCGCGACACCTTATCTGTCCATTCTGATGCCATGAAAGATTACTTCTGATGCAGCTTATGTGCAACTACTACACCTTGCGACAGGATGGCTCCAGGGCATTCATGAGATTTTGGAATTTCCAGGTGGATTATCTTTCGCTGAATTGTGTAGAAGTAAATGGACCTTACTAATGAATGAAAGGGGTTCTCTAATGTGTATGAGTGATCTTATATGATAATTTCAGGGCTCTCTCGATGGGAAGAGCTGGACGAATTTGAGAGTACATGAAAATGACGCGACGGTGAGCAAGCCTGGTCAATTTGCATCTTGGTCCATAACTGGGCCCAACGCTCTGCTTCCCTTCAAGTATTTCCGGGTTGTTCTAACGGCTCCCACCACTGATGCCACCAATCCTTGGAACTTGTGCATTTGTTACTTGGAGCTATATGGCTATTTCCTGTAGAACTGAACTGTCGGATACAACCATTACCAGTTTGGCTATTTCCTGTGGAGCCTTGTAAGCAAAGTTACGGCCCCTGTTGCTGTGAGAGCTTGTACTTGAAATTCAAAATATTTTCTTTCTTTAGATGAATTTGGAAGTTATAATTACATTGTAGGGTAATACGCTCATGGAAAACATTTTATGGCGTCAAGCCGTCAAGCGTTCCACATCTTGAAGTGTTGTAGTTTCTTTTGGAATGTATCGTAGTGCGACCATGAGCTGACCGTGATCGAATCAGTACTAAGGCTGCGTTTGTATACTGGAATTAAGAAAAGAGAGACAGAATTGGAAATGGATTTCTTGCCTTAAGCATGTGTGGTACGTCTGTGGAATCTGATTCGATTCAATTCCATGGAATGGGTTCCTTGGTTCCATGTTACCCCTTCCCAGATGCAAGGGTGGAAGCTTACTGCCTAAACTTATACGTCTCCTTGTCATCTACTCCACTTCATCGGAAGATATGGATTTGTTGGAAAACGTCAAAAAGGAAATATTCCAAGGTGCGAAGTCAACTGACGTCCCCCACTTGACAATTTCAAATGCCCTTGCTTGCTCTAGATTGTGCCCCCTCCGTGTTCTTTCTTCGCAAGCCAAAAATACAGTAAAAGTTGGACATCATATGAGCCTTTTGCACTAACTACGTTGCCCGTTCGCTAGCCTGCCTATATACGTGACTAATAGTCACAGGCCAGCCTTAAAGCAACATATATTTAACGAAATAATTCAATCCTTGTGTCTGCGGCGGGATAAAGTGACTATTAACACTGACATAAGATAAGCAGGCTCATGCATACACATATTGGCTGTAACTCTCTAACCAACCAAACCAAATTTAACACGGAGGCATGTTTTTCAAATGATGCTGTGGATAACCAAAATGCTGTTTAAAAATGAGACAGCTGGAAAAAACGCTTGAGTTGGAAGCCTCGCGTGAATTCATCTCATGATCATCTCCCTTCCTAATTTTAGCTTGCCCTTCCGGCAGATGGCAGGGGGTGAAGGCCAGTGGAAATTTCTCCTTGAGATTGAAGAATAGGTTCTTTTTACTGGACGTGTTTGATGATTGTTGGTAATTATTTGGCAAAACGTACAATCCGTTTTTGGTTTCACGTAAATTGTTTTAGTATTATATTCCAAGAAAGTGAATTGAACTAGAAATTTAATATCAATAAATTAATTATAAATAGTATGTAAAAAATTGATTGGATTAATTTAAGAATCATACGATTTATATGATTTTAAAAATTTGTATTAGTTGAAATCAGTTTTAGTTTTTTATACATAAAATATTTGACATTATATGATAAATTATTTATCCCCAAAAGAAGGATTAGGGATCTAAATTTAGTTGGCAAAAATTAGTATATTTGAATAAGTTTAATTTTAATGTAAATTTAATCCATAAATAATATTTTGATTTTCTAAAATATTCTTAAATTATCAACAAGGTTGTGTCTAGCAAAAAGGCTAATCCTTTATAATATGATAATCAAGTTCAAATTTAAAAAAGTACTCACATTTAGTGCCTATGTTTTGAATTGGATTATATCAGTGCTCAATAAAAAAAAAACTATTCTTAAAAGAATTATAAATTAGTGCTAAAATATAAATTACAAAAGAGATGCCATAAATAGTTTTTGGCCAAAATTATGATGAATAATATATAAGTGTGTAACTGCGCGCACATATATATCATAAATTTGGACATTATTAATGCTTTTTTTCAAGCGAAACCCATTTTGTATAATAATTATTAATATTTTGTATATACAATAAAATTTATAACAAGTGAAAAAGTGCAGTCCATATTCCAAAACTTGAGAGATACTAAACATGCGTCGAGTAATTTTTAATAAATAAAAAATAATTAGACAAGTATATTTAGTGAATAATATATGATTTATGATAACATTTATGTTCCACATTAATATTGATGTCCAGATACCTCACCACCATCATCCAGTGAGAATCCTGAAACCTCACAAATGGACTAGTATCATTGCTCAAATATAGAAGGACATGCGTGCATAGGTGGATGCCATTGTGTTTTCAGAATTTATAGTGAACAAATTTTGACGGCCGTTGCTTCATCACGTGGTAGAGGATATGCTTTACTTGCTTGGTTTCTAGCAATAATGAAGTCACAAGTTTAATCATAATGGGTCCCTGAAAGTATCAACAGTGAGATGCTTGTGACTATGATTTTTCGCATCTACATGGATTTTGCGCAGATTCGAGACTTTGGGGCTGAGTTTGGAGTCTGAAGGTTGGCGAGATGATCGGCTGTTTGGGTCCTTATCCCATGGTCGCCACTGGGTCTTTATCACCTTCCTTGAGCAAATCCTGCAATGAGGTACTACCAATTTGATTTTTTTTTCCCTTTTTGACTGTAATGGCTTTAGATTTTAGGCATTTGGTGGTGTTTCCCTCGTATATGAACGAGCATCTTTCTACTTGTTTATCGTAAAACCATAACTTATATATGTAGTCTGGCTTTCTGCTTGAGTAAACTGGTTTATGTTAGCTGGCTTTTCATAAATTGCTTCTGTACCTTCGAGAACAACTAGTATGTAATCGCCTTCCCTATACAAGCGAATTTCCTCAGGATATTATTATTCCACTACCTGAATTTTATTCGTGATCTGCAACAAGCCCTGAAGAGTGAGTGGATTATCGTTGTTTGTTTGTCTTTTGCTGTTGTTACAAAACTTGTTTTACCATTTATGGAACCAGTCATAGACGTGGGTTTGAATAACATCGAAGTAAAGTATCACAGCTACTTGATTGACAGCATGTTACAAAACTTGAGAATATAACTGTTATTTCTATTTTTCATTTATTATAATGGAACTACTTCCTTTACGTTAGTATTGCAATCTTTTGATCTACCCATTAGTTTGGTCGCGCGCACTTTTACTTACAACATATACAGAAGGTAGCGAAAGTGAATTATGGTTGAAGGAATCACTCTGGATGATCATAGTTTAGACTTCAGTATACCTTGTCATGAATTTTCCATATTTTTCATAGTTTTAGCGACTTGAATTTGCCTTCTTTTGATCGGGATAGGCTATCTCTCTGCCCCTGCCCCCCTTCCTAGTATTGAGCAATTATTGTCTTGAGGCGTGTCAGTATTGTGCATGATCTCTAATGTTTTGTGGTTTTCTATCTTTTATTTCCGCAGACCTTTAGAAATAATAAGCAGTTTCTTGCCAAACAACAGTCAGTTTGTCTGACATCTGTCTGCAAAATCCGCCGAGGATGCAGTGGATTCTGTTTTCCGTCAAAAAGATCAATATCCAAGGTATAGCACGAACATTCAACTCAATCACACTAACTTTTATTCTTCCTGACATTTTTCCTCTTTTTTCATCACTTTGACATTTTATTCTTCCTCAATCACAGTCATTCGTTCAGATTTGAAATCTTATATTATATTATATAATATATGTACTAAAAAAAGATTCTTTAAAGAAATGAATTTCGTTCTACATCTTGCCCTAACTGATATTATAGTCACACTCTTTAGTGTTTGGTTCAGTGTGTGTATCTCTCATCAACATGTGTTAATGCGGATAAGTTGCTTGAATGATTTTTTTTTTTTTTCCCTTTCAACAAGGGGAGGTCCAGTTCCAAGATATCAACTGTATTGACTGATAACAAGTCACCAATGTCATCCTTTGAGGATGACGTAGAGAATATTGGCATCTTCCACATTGATCCGGGCCTAGAACCATATAAAGATCACTTCAGATATAGAGTGAAGAGATATTTAGATCAGAAAAGGCTTGTCGAAAAATATGAAGGAGGCCTTGAGGAATTTGCAAAAGGTAGTGATAGTTATCTGCATTTCTACACTTGTGTTATCTGTTTCGAATCATACTTACTGAATTGGGATGACTACTTAAATGCAATGCATCTACAGAGTGTGCATTGTAGTTATCTGAGCTATTACATCGTTTATATTGGAGACTCTAATAGAACCCAAACCGGTATCACAACAAAAACAGCAACGAAAAATAGTGACAACAATAAATGAGGGGAAAATGCTGAGGTTTTTGATATTAATAAAATGAGAGAAACTGAATCAGAGTTACAAAGAGATTCTGGCCAAAACACTATCTCCCCTGAATGATTACAAAAGTAACAGCATTACAAGTTACAAACCTCACAAAAGAGGGTTCGCTCCTTATAGCATTTGAGAGGCCAGCCTCTCCTCACAAATCTCTCACAAAAGACATACCCCCCCCTCAATACAAGCAAAAGATTAATATGACACACAGCATGGCTTTCCCCATAGCCCATACTTCCCAAAATATCTTAATCATAGCAAAAGATCATGAGTTACTGTTCCTTACGGCTAGAGACCAAAGGATGAGCCTCTGGACCAGTCATAATGTTTCTACTAGAGTCATTCTTCCCCTTTGACTTCCTTTGATATGTCTTAGCAAAATAATGGGGGGCTCTATCAGACTCCATTGGGATTGTTAAATTGATCAGCTTCCGGAAAATGCATATCATTTGCCTGTTAATTGGATTGATGTTCTCTTCCCCATACTGGACTGCCTAGCTAATTTGTTGGATTGTTTAACGTTAATATTCAAGACTTCAACTTAATATATTGTTTCTTTTTCTTCATCATCCACTCTCTCTGTTGATGCATGTGCTTGCAACTGGGTTGGTCTCCTTTTGCCTATATCATTCTGCCTCATCTCTCTGTGATTTGTTCAGTTGACTTCAGTCTCATCTTCAATATTCAATATAAATTTTCATTTTCTTCTTTCTTCCTTCCTCATCTCTCTATTAGGTTATTTGAAATTTGGGTTTAACAGAGAAGACGATGGCATTGTATACCGTGAGTGGGCACCCGCTGCTCAGTAAGTTATCCATCAGAGTATAAATAGGTCTACTTCATTTGGTTTTTTTTTTTTTGTTTAATTTCTTTTTAATGTTACATATCTTACAATTTAGGGAAGCACAATTAATTGGGGACTTCAACGAATGGGATGGATCAAACCATAGGATGGAAAAAAATCAGTTTGGTGTTTGGAGTATAAAAATCCATCATTGCGATGGGAATCCAGCAATACCTCATAATTCAAGAGTCAAATTCCGATTCAAACATGGTGATGGAGTTTGGGTTGATCGCATCCCTGCTTGGATTAAGTATGCTACTGCTGATCCTACAAGGTTTTCTGCCCCATATGATGGCATCTATTGGGATCCAGCACCTTTAGAGAGGTCTTGTTCTTCTCATACATAGAATGTATATGGTGTTGTGTTTTTCAGTACAACCAACCAAGCATGACATCTGAGGATTATTCCTTAAACGGACAGCAAATGCATGCAGCGTAACATTGTAACTAACTTGACAATTGCAAAAATAGTCTAAGCTTCATTGCAGTGTGGCTCATCTTGAAATTTCATCTGGTTCTGATATTATTTGTAAGAAAAAAGGAGAATGTCTATAACATGTTTTATAAGACTTGTTATTTATTTAACGTTGCAAAGCAGGTCTACAATTCGTTAATTCATTCCATGTGTGTTTTCAACACTCTAATTATACTCCTATTGCAGGTATCAGTTCAAATATTCTCGGCCACCAAAGCCCAATGCCCCACGGATATATGAGGCTCATGTAGGAATGAGTAGCTCCGAATCTCGAATAAATTCTTACCGAGAATTTGCAGATGGTATTTTGCCCCGTATTCGGGCAAATAACTATAACACAGTCCAGTTGATGGCTGTGATGGAGCATTCCTATTATGCATCCTTTGGCTATCATGTTACAAATTTTTTTGCTGTGAGCAGTAGATCTGGAACCCCTGAAGATCTTAAATATCTAATAGATAAGGCCCATAGCCTAGGTTTGCAGGTTCTGATGGATGTTGTCCACAGTCATGCCAGTAATAATGTTACTGATGGACTCAATGGCTTTGATGTTGGCCAAAGTTCCCAGGATTCTTACTTCCACAATGGAGACAGAGGCTATCATAAATTGTGGGATAGTAGACTCTTTAACTATGCCAATTGGGAAGTTCTTCGTTTTCTATTATCTAATTTAAGGTGGTGGATTGAGGAGTTCAAATTTGATGGGTTTCGGTTTGATGGAGTAACCTCAATGCTGTATCACCACCATGGAATCAACATGACTTTTACAGGGAATTACAGTGAATATTTTAGTGAAGCAACAGATGTGGATGCTGTCGTCTATTTGATGCTGGCTAATTGTTTGATCCGTAATATTTTACCAGATGCAACTGTCATAGCTGAAGATGTTTCTGGCATGCCTGGACTTGGTCTACCCCTGTCAGAGGGAGGTATTGGTTTTGACTATCGTCTGGCTATGGCTATCCCAGACAAGTGGATTGACTATCTGAAGAACAAGAAAGATGATGAATGGTCTATGAAAGACATCTGTTGGAGTTTGACGAATAGGAGATACACCGAGAAGTGTGTATCTTATGCGGAAAGTCATGACCAGGTATAAGCTTAGCCAATTTTCTTTAATCCTATCTTATGCTAGGTATCATATTCAGGATGGAATTATCCTAAAGTGTAGGCAAAATCAGTTTTATAAGTGGCATAACAATGGAAACTCCTGAAGACAGCTAAGAATTTCTCATATTTCTTTGTCTTTTTGTACAGGCCATTGTGGGGGACAAGACTGTAGCATTTTTCCTCATGGATAAAGAAATGTATTCTGGCATGTCTTGCTTGACAGATGCTTCCCCTACAATTGAGCGAGGGATTGCTCTTCACAAGGTTATATGTCAGATCATAAAAATTGGTTTTTACCGGTTGTTATAGATATATTTTCTTACTTTTAGTGCCCATCAAAACCTTTCCTGTTTATGCGCAACTGTAATGCTATGCATCTACAGCAATGATGTGATTGACAATCCCACAACTGCTGATGTGATACTTCGCTGCTTTATTATGTGCTTGTACTCATTGTTATTTTAATCCTTCGTAGATGATACACTTCTTAACCATGGCATTAGGTGGGGAAGGCTACCTTAATTTCATGGGCAATGAGGTATGCAAACTGCCAGTCATAGTGTGGTGTAGCCCAACGATGAGGGTTGCTTGTCTCTAGTCTAGAGATGTTCATGCATATCACTCTTATTGCTATTGAAGGATAACATGTGTTATCATCTATTCAGTAATATTCATGACTGCTTTTTTAGTTTGGCCATCCGGAATGGATTGATTTCCCTAGAGAAGGCAATGGATGGAGTTATGAGAGGTGCCGTCGTCAGTGGAATTTGGTGGATACTGACCACTTGAGATATAAGGTAATTCAGGAATCAGGACTATTTGCTTTTCTCTCTATTTCTTTGCCCCCGTTTTTTTTTTTTTTTTTTGGAGGGGGTCCTCCTGTGTCCATATTTGTTCAACTTTTAAATATTGAGATTTGTCAAGAGGTTTGCAAACACAAGTAATTTCCTATATTTATGTAAGAAATGTGCATCGTTGCAGTACATGTTCTGGTGTTGTGCAGAAAGCCAATACAAGTGCGAGACTCCTTTCTTCTTGCAGACACACACACACAAAATCTTTCACCTTTTACATTTCTCCTTCTGGAAATTGTGCAGTTCATGAATGCATTTGACAGAGCTATGAACCTACTGGATGACAAATTTTCATTCCTCTCATCACCAAAACAAATTGTGAGCAGCACAAATGAAGAAGACAAGGTGTTATTTCTCCATATGATCACTAACTTTTTTTTTTTTTTTTTGGAGAGAACTATGCTGGTTGATAATCTGATAAATTTTTCAAGTCAATTAAGATGTAGTATGATTCCATGACCTTTTTTTAACTAGGAGTACTTGAAATTGGCAATGTCATAGGCTTTAGACATAATTTAAGATGTCTGAGCAATTAGAGATTCAACTATTACGTGCGTTTAGCTGGTTTAACACAATTTAATGTCCTTTTCTTTTACAGGTTATAGTCTTCGAACGAGGGGATTTGGTATTTGTGTTCAATTTTCATCCAGAGAATACTTATGAAAGGTATGTAAGTAATAGGGTATTTTGTTTTTATGTTTGGGGAATTTGTAAAAGCCTGAGCATAAATTAGTTGACTGATATGTTGAACCAATAGGTATAAAGTTGGGTGTGACTTGCCTGGGAAATATAGAGTTGCTCTTGATAGTGATGCTTGGGAATTTGGAGGGCATGGAAGAGTAAGGAATGCTACTGTCTCAAACTGAAGTTAGATGATTTATTAGTTTGAGTTGCAGCGATTGGCTCTCTCTGTGGGGGTTTGAAGTTCAAACCAACTGATTAGAAGCATTCCAATCTTTTTGTCCTTTTACTGATGGCAATGTTCTAAATTATTATCTGCTAGGTGGGGCATGATGTAGACCACTTTACATCCCCAGAAGGAATTCCAGGAGTTCCTGAAACAAATTTCAACAATCGTCCCAATTCTTTCAAAGTCCTCTCCCCCTCTCGTACTTGTGTGGTATGTTTGTCTGTAACCTCCTTTGAGTTCTGTCTTGCATTTCCTTTTTTCATTTTAGTCATCGTGATTTTATGCTGGAAAGAATTTAAACATTACTCCCTTTGATCCCATTTACAAGTCACGGTGCATCTTTTTAGATAATATTTAAAAGGTATTTTCAAAATTACCTTTCACAAGAAAAAAAAAAGTAATATGATATTACTTTTTGAATTTATTATATAGGGACATATTTGAAATTCTATACACTTTTATTCCTTATACTTTTTTTTGTATTGGTATTGATGAAGTTGGTAAAAATAACTTATAAAGAAGACCAGAAGAGTACAGAGTAACATCAACTAAAGAATTATTTGTATATCTTTCATTCATAAAACAGCGAGTTTCTTGCCACAGGCTCCTTTATTCGCGTCAAGATGTTGTGAATCACTAATGGCAAGTCATTTTGTACTCCGTAGGTATATTATAGAGTGGAAGAGAGCCGAGAAGAAAACAATAATAGCACTTTGATCGGAGTAGGAGAGGTATCTGCTGCATCAGACGTTGCCAAAAATCTTGAAGGATATGTGGAAAGTGGAGTCACTAATTTGATTGGGGTGGAAGAGACATTAGATGATGATGCAGCAAATGTAGTGGAGATTATTGAAGAATTAGCTTCGACAGAAAGCGAGGTTGCTAAAAGAAAAACATAAGATGCAAACACTCCATTCGATGTTGCCAAAATTCTGGAAGGATCAGCATATGTAGAAAGTGAAGTCAGTGGTTTGATTGAAGTAGAAGAGACGGTCGCTGTAGCAGATGTTACTGAGATTTCTGAAGACTTGTCTTCAGTAGGAAGTGAGGTTGCTTCATGCAAAACAGAAGACGCAAGAGTAGAGAAAAGTGGTGAAGGAACATTGCATAGCTGAGAATCTATATCCGTGGTAAATAGCTGTGTTTAGCAGGTTTTTGGGTGGTTGAAAGGGTGTTTGATGTAGATTTTGGAGAAACGTTTTCCTCTCTGACACGGGTACAAGCATTAGACAACTTTTGTTTGGAGATAGTGTGTATCTAAACGCGGATGGATGATAAATGGTGAAGCAATATCGCATAACTAAGAATCTCTATATCCATTGTAAACTAGCAGCACTATCTGTGCAAACAAAGGAAAGACGACAACTCATTCGGAAATAGAGGGTATGTCCAGTAAATGCGGATAGATGGATTGATTCTGTCAGACTTCATTCTTGAAAGAGTTTCTCAACGTTTGAGTCACACAAACGAGAAAAACTGTGCATTAAAAAAGTCATTCACCCAAAAAATCATCCATCCATTGATAAGGAAAAGTAAATATCTCCAAACAACTGAAACACCGAACAAGATCATTCTAGAGCCAAGGATCATGTGTTCAGTCGTAATTTCACGAGGAGGAAAATTCTTGTTCACTTAACAAGTCATTCATGGTATTTTTGTAAAATGATGATGCTAAATCCAGTATGAAGTATCAACTGCTGGCATATCTTAAAAAGTGATTCTAATGATACGCAAAAGACTCAAGAAACAGAGGTCACAATAAATCCATTTGTCTTTTTCTACCTTAAACTAGAAAAATAAAGATCAGAAAAACTAAGTCCTCCGAAGCCTTGAAGCTCCAGTTTTTTTGTCTACCCCAGTAGTAGATTTCTCTAAGTTCGAAGGCAGAGGAGGAAGCTTCTTATTTCCTTTGGTCATGCTTCTAAGCATGTATCGTGGAGCCTCCAATCGCTCCATCGTGTAAGTCGCGGAAACGGATTTCCGCAAGCTCTCAAGTTTTTTAGAGCTGCTCTTCTTCGCCGACTCTACAGCTACGCCAAGATTATACGCAGGCGCTTTACCATAATCGCCTGTCTTCCTTCTCTTCAACCGCTCGTTCCTTCTAGCAGAGTATTCATCATAAAACCTTCCCCTCTCAAACAGTATCCCTGAATTCACACCGAATGAATTGGCAGATTCAATATTTTCAGAATCCCTCTTCCCAAATTCTTCCCTAACCATCTTCATCAAAGCCCGTAATTCACAGGAAATCGTGCGGTACTCGGGTCGAAGTTCAGATTCCTCGATGTTCAGGCAGCCAGTTGGATTTTTGGATTCTGTCAACGAACCTAATTCAACCACGGAAAATACATAAATAAAAGAAAGTGAAACAAACAGACGAGCCAACCATCGATATCATTGATCTAATTGTCAAGCGAACCTGATGGGGTTTGAAGCGAGCAGGAGTTTGATGGACGGAGGACTCGGCGAGGTCGAAGACGCATCGGCGATTTGGCAAGAGGAGGCTTACGATCCGATTTCATCTTGGATATAGAGTACATAGTTGAGATCTTCAAGAAAGCGATAAGTGACTTTAAATTGAGTGATTGAAGAAAAATGAAAAGATGATTGAAAAACAATGCAGTTTGGAGTGTGGCGCTTTTCTTTTAATTGGATGACAGACGCACCTCTGTTTGAAAATTTTGAATCAAGACACCAGGAGCAGAAGACGCTCGCTTCCAACGGTCAAATTGTGGATCGGACGGCTACTACGCTCTGAGCTGGATGCCGTTTGGCCCGATCATCATCCCAATGCGGGTCCAACCAATTTTTGTAGTGGTTGCGTGCTATTACGGGAAAATCTGATTCAAAGAACCCCTAAAGTCTATTATTTAGCAAAAAATGACTCTAAGGCCTTGTGTGATATTTAATGCATGTTTAGATTAACTTTTAACTTTAGTTAAAATGGGTCAAATTGAGGTTAAAATAAAAAAGTCCAATTTGTATTTGGATTAGCAAAAATTTTTAACCTCAGTTAAATGTAAACAAGCAATTTTTTAAAAGCCCTTAGACCTGGCTTTTGCCTCAGCATTAATGTTACTGGCCGTTGAAAGCATTTTAAATTTTTATGCTTTCTCTTTCTTCTCATCTGTCTATCTATAAAGCTTTGTTTTTTTAACCTTGTTGTGCATAGTCCTTTGTTGTTCCTATGACCTCCCGAGCTCTACCCCCAGATCTGCTTCACCTTCCATTGCTCATAGGCGATGCTGTCCGGCACCAAGATCTCCACCATATTCAAGCACCAAGATCTCCACTTTTCGTTCTTGCATCCAGCGTGTCCATGCTTTAAAGTGATTTTCTCCCCATCACCTCTCAATCTCTACCATGTTCACTAAATCTGTAGTTCCCATTGCCTGATCTACTCCCCATCGAGTGTTCTTGCCAAGTAAAGTTGTTCTTTTCATCTCCTTCCTTGCCTTCCTTATTGTCATGCTTTGCCTACAAGTGGCCACATGCCAAATTTGCATCTCTGGTCCATTCTAAACCTTCATTGTTTGAGTATGATGCTCTGAATCATCCCAAATATTTGCATCTCTATCGTGCTTCTCTTGTTTTTTTTTCCTTGATTGAATGATTGGTGATGATCCTCGATAAGAGTTTCTGATGATCCTTGGAGTTTCTGATGCTTGGTGATGATCCTTAAATTCTTGTACTTGTCCTTTCCTGGAACTCAGGTCTGTTTGTGCTTGAATTCATTTCTGAAATATGGGTAACATAAGTAAAAATGCCCATGGAGTTTTTGGTTCTGTAATTTTATGTGAAAATAACAGAGCATTTAGTCTCACTACAATATAGTATTTAATTATGTGTCCATTTATAAATGAACAGAATGTGTTTCTTCTCCTTCAAGTATGATGACAAATCTCTTTGTTTTTTTTTTTTTGACTCCTCTTCTTCTATCAAGGTGAAAAAGTTTCAAGTGTAAATATCTTGGTAAGATTTCCTATATGCAATCATTCTTGTCTTGTGCATGTTAAGAAACCAGGATACTTATAATTCGGCAACATAGGCAGTTCCTTTCTTGTTTTAGGATTATTATTTTCTTTTAGTTTCTCTTTGACTCTAGGTTGTCATGGTAAATTGATACATGTATGCATATATATTTATTGCTTTTATATATTTGTGGTGGCTAGCTATTCTATAGAAAAATGAACAACAAGAAAGGAAAAGTTGTGTGGAATTCAAACTTGATAGAAATTTTCATTAAGGAATACTTGGAACAAATATACAAGAAACAAAGAAAAGGAGTTGCTTTCAACAAAAATGGTTGGAAAGCAATAATAGAGGGGCTTGAGGCAAAAATCGAAAAAAGGTATAAGCCAAAGCAATTGAAAAATAAACTAGACAATATGAAAAAAGAATGGAACATATGGTATAAGTTATTTTCTAATAAAACTGGCTTAGGATGGGATAGTGTTAAGAATATTATCGATGTTCCGGATGAGTGGTGGGAGCGAAAAATCTTGGTATGGATTAGTTATTAAGTGTTTTTTTAGATTAGAATTTAATTTAAGAAACTTAATTGTTGATTACTTGAATGCTACAGGAAAATCCCCTATATAAAAAATTTAGACATGAAGGGTTGAGGTTTGCAAAGGAATTAACTTTGATATTCAAGGATGTCTTGGCAGCTAGGGAGACACTTTTTGTACGACATGCTACCCAAACCTAAATAGAGGATGACAAGGATGAATACCATCCTACCATTGACCTTCAAGAAGGATCTGGTGATAGTAAAGAGGAGTTGAATTTATCTTACACTGCAACACCTATGAAGGTCACTGATGAGCTATTCGGATTAAGTGTGACCATAAATACTAGTAGAACTAGTGGTGATGCAAATCAAGGCAAAAAAAGAGGGTTAAAGGAGTTGGTGGGAGGAAAAGGCAGAAAGTCCCTGCCTTAATGAAAATAACAGATACTATGAGTGAAATAGCTAAGGAAAATAAAGCTAAAATGGAGACAGTGAACAAGATTTTGACAAATGACATAAGGGTTTTTGAGGTTGTAGCTCACCTAAATGGACTTCTAAAAGTTTTTGGTGATAAAAATTTATATTGGAGATGTGTCAATCTTATTTTGTATAAGCTTATATGGGATACTTATTGGCAATTTAAAGATCATCCTAATCACTTAGTCAATTGGTTGAAGCATCAAGTCCACAATCTACCTGATTTTATTTCAAAGAATACATCTGGATGAAATATTTATATAGGCTTATAATGAATTGACTTGTGTTTGACTTATAGTTGCTTTTTTTTTGACTTGTAGTTTGTTATGCCTATGATGACTTGGTTTGTAGTGAATGTTTAACTCTTATCTAATACTTATCTTATGCTTTATTTTTTATGTTGTTAAATGATATTTATATACTATTTATTTTATATTATGTACAAATAATATTTATATATCATTTATTTTATATTACATACGGATGACATTTACATACTATTTATTTTATATTACATGCTAATAATATTTATATACTATTTTACCTCATGTTGAAAGATCATAGAAGATTTGAATGAACATGTGTTAGGTTAGACTAAAGGTTGGGATGTTGATGTGGTGCATTAACTACTTCCTTTATTGCAATAAGATATAATTGAGCAAGAAGAAATATGTCAATTATTTAGTGAATATATGATGCCATATGTGTGTAAAGAGCCACGGAGAAGTAGTAAGCAAACAGGGCAAATGTGGGTTAATGAGATTTTAACATTCAAGAGAAAATGTCCATAAAATTTTTTATAAAGTATTAACTGCATGCCTTAACCTAACTAAGACAAATATAAAGCCATTTGATCCTTTATTTTAATGATGTCATTCAAAAATTCAAAATGATCCACAATATTAGCCATTCTTTAAGGATGCTATAGGAGTAATTAATGGCACTCATGTGCCATGCATGGTTAGTGTTGCTGATCAAATCAAATTTATTAAAAGAAAGGAATATGCAATACAGAATGTCATGGGTGTATGTGATTGAGATATGTGTTTTACTTTTGTGATTGCGAGATGGGAAGGTACAGCTCATGATGCCTCGAGTATTTGATAATGTCATATCAACTCCTTCAATAAATTTTTCACATCCACCTCCAGATATATTTTATTAAAGTCACTATAATTACTATTATAGTGATTTAATATTAATGAAATTTACAATACTTCCTTTTATTTAATATGTAAATATTATTTGGTTGATTATAATTATCCAACATTAAATAGGTATTTTGGTCCATATCTTTACGAACGTTATTACCTTTCAGACTTCAAATGAGTTGCAAGATTTACAAACAATAACAAAGTTTTCAATTATTATTATTCAAGTTTTAGATGCATTATAGAAAGAACTTTTGAAGTGTGAAAAAATAAATTTGCAATTATATGAAAAATATCTAAATTTAGATATAAAACACAAGTTCAAATTGTTTGTGCAACAATGACAATACCTAACTTTATTATGAGAAATTCAATCACTAATGAGCAATTCATACAAGCTGAAGATGAAAGTATAGATGTCTATGAGAAAGATACCGATATTGGTGAACTATCTTCATCAAATCTACCTAGATCATCAAGACAAATGCAATGTGTTTTTGATATAATTAGCAATCAACTTGTAAATCATATCAATTGAATATGAATTTATTTTAGCTGTTCATGATTGAATATTTAAGATATTTTACTTATTAATTGTAATTTTAAGTTTAATATTTTTTACTTATTAGTTAGTCAAAAATATTAAAAAAAATTAGTGTTTATTTTTGCTATTAAACATTCCAACTGGCTTTTGAATCAAATCATCTAAACGAATTTTAATTTATCTAACTAACTTTTTAAAAAATAACTATCCATACATAAATCACGTTACATTAACCAACTTTTCTTCTAATCTCAATTGCAAATTTTTTTTAATCCAAACACACTCTTAGGCCCTATTTGGTACACAGTCTTGATTTTCATGGGACCGAGAATGGAATTGAGATTGGGATTAAAATTAGCAATAAATTTTAAAATTATGTTTGGTAAGATGTGGAAATGTATGAAAAAAAATTATTTTACATATGTAATCATAATTATAAAAGACAATAACTCCCTTATCAACATAAAAAGAATATGAAAAGCAAGGGCTATTAGAAGAGTGCCAGCTATCGATGCTCATCATTATCAAATAAGAAAGCATAAAAAATGTGTTGCAACAATATAGAAAATTTCAAAATAACATCAAAATTCAGATTTGAAATACAATAGAAAATTTCATAGCACCATTGGTGTAGATTTGATATCGAAACTCACATACGAAAAAAGGGAACTTGAGACTTTGTCTGTAAAGCAGAATTATTCTAATAGGTCTTCTTCCATCCTTGCTGATAGAGAAATAGAGCTCCAACGAACTTCCTCCTTGACTCAAATCTTTTCACACCATGGAGAAAGGGACAGCAAGAATGATGTACAAGGTTAATGACAAATAGAGTTTCGATGGACTTCCTCAAGGACAATGTGGATGATGAGAATGACGAACAGGTGGCAGAAGATAGTGATTGGAGATGGAGAAGGTGCCTCAAGATGAAGGAGAAGGTGCCAACATGGACACAAGAACCAGTGAGAAAATTATCTAATAATAAAGAGCATTTTGATCCATAAAATTTCAATCCCACCTCTTCTATGGGTTTTACTAATCACATATGGGTGGGCTTCACCATTCTTAAGTTCTAGATAATTCTCTATACCAAATAGCTTAATTTGGGCTTTACCAAAATTCCAATCTTAACCTTCCAATGCCTTGTCCCAAACAAGACTTTAGTATTGGGTTTTATAAAATTGGAAATGGAATTAGTAGTAAAAATAAGTTTTAAAATTATGTTTAATATGTAATGGAATTAACAAAAAGCAAAAGTCTCAGGTCCAACAAAAATCAGCCAAAAAAAAAAAAACCAAGTGCCCTTGTCTTCTTCCCATCACAGTTGTACTTAACCTAGAAAAGAGGATCAGCTGAAATCAAAAATGAAAACCCATGAGAAGAAAATGGAAGCCATGGATTCAAACTCATGGACCAAAGTTAGAAAATAGGAACCCATGAGAAGAACATCAAACGCAACAATCGACAACTTAGAACGACGAAGCAAATGCAGTAAGTCGTGGATCTGGGTTGGGCTGCTGTGGGAACGACGATCTTGAGCAAATGCAATGACGCATCTCAAAAACACAGCAAGTCCGTGCTCTCATCCAGGCCTCGAACTGAAGTCGTCGTGCTACCACCGCAGGTTATTTGAAGAAGATGAACCAAAGAAGATAGGAAGGTTGAGTTTATTGATCTGGAGCAAGAAAACAAAGGAGATGAACTAAAGAAAATGGGGAGGCTGAGTTTGTGGATCTGGAAAAAGAAAACAAAGAAGATGAACTAAAGAAGATGCGAAGCTTGCCGATGCCTGAAAGAAGAAGATGCACTGACTTGAAAATGATGATATATGTTGCACAAATCAACGTTATTTTAGTCTACAAAAATTCAATCCTGAGATTATTTTTGCAGTACCATATAAGATTGGGCTTGGTAATAAAATTTTCATTCCCACCTACTAAATACAAAATCTTGACATTAACCAGCCCATCCGAGTTTCACTCTCATATTCCTTTATATTAAACAGGGTTTAAAATTTTAAATTATCTCTGCATACTAAGAGACCTAATGAAAAAAAAAAATTAAGGGAAAGAAACAAAAATAACCCCTTTGAGATTTCTCTTTAGATTTATACTCTTTGTCGTCACTCACCCCCTTCTTTTCCAGCCATGGTATCATTTTAATTAACGAACATGGCAACAGTGAAGACGCTTCCTCACCTCTAGATCTTTAACAGCGAGGACATTGTTCTCTTTCGGCAGATCTTCATTATCTACTCCTTCTCCCTCTTCTTTAATCTTTTAATAATATCATAAAGAACCTCATCGAGAAAAAGGATTTTCATTTGCATTATTGCCCCCTACCTAAACAAAATGAATCTCAACTCAAATCGCAAAAGATATTAGATTTTGAGCACAATACAAAGTAGTTAAATAAGCTGGTTATCAATTAAAGTGAAGGTTTATGTTAACCTATATTAAAGATGATTTTTTTTTTTTTTGGTATTGACGTATTGTATAAGAAGATTGGGAAGGCATCATGGAAAGCCTATAACCTTGATCACGTAATATCTTAAGGAGGGCAAGACCGATATTACATATCAGGGCGTATGTGATGTCATTGGGCCTGTATATTCTTTCTCTTTTTTGTTCTCCTTTTCATTTTGAATCTTGTTGCAACAAGCACGCATTTGCACGTTGACAAGTAATCAAAAGTAATATGTAAGCAACAATTTGATAATGAAAAAGCTAAAAAAAAAAAATCTTATAAGCTTCACTTAATAAGTGTTAGTCCTATTATAACAAGCATCTATTTACATATTAACAAGGAACTATAAGTAATTTACAAATGACAATTTTATAATGAACAAATTAAAAAAAATCTAATAGGCCTACTTTAATTTTTCACATGCATTGGTCTTGTTGAAACAAGTATGCATTTGCATATTGACAAATAATCACAAGTAATTCACAAGCCGCAATTTGAGTTTTGGATAGAAATTTATCCACACAGTCAAGTTGTGATAATCCTCTCAATAGATAGTAGGGTTATTTTTATCTTTTTTTTTTTCTTGAATCTCATTTTCATTTAAGTTTTTTGAGTGTGTAGAGAGAATTCAGAATCTTAGGTTTTTTTTTACTAATAATAGGTTACAAGGGTCCTTGAGTGAGATATTCCCTACTCTTATTGACATGTCTGCTAAGGACCTTAGTGGTAAGTTTTCTTTTCACGATGAAAAGAAACAAGCTAAACTTTCGTTGGTTTGTATATCACAAAGGAAAACAGCTGCTGGTGCAAAAAAGTACTGGGGATAGGAGTCTCAAAAAGAACTTGATGATACTCTCAAGGCCACAATAAGGTCTTATCAAGCATGCTAAGGATAAATATATTTATATACAAATATTTCTCCTGTTGAATCCTGGTTCATCTTTAATTTGAAGGGGTGACGTTTAAAATATTAATTGGTCATCTTTACTTTCTCTTCTTACACGTGAAGGCTATTGTTAATACAATGGTTTTACGAATTGATGATTATAGTCATGAAAGGGCGCTCAAGTGCTAAGTTTGATTCAAATATAAACATTTCGATTATGATATGATTGTGATTTTAGAGAAAATTGAGGCAAACACAAGGATCAAGGGGGGCTGCAAAGCTTAGTATAATGAAGGGGCGTTGGTTTCAAGAGGATGGGGATCTAACGTAGCGAAAGCAAGGAGGTCCTTGTCTTGTTCTAACATGGCCATGTCATCGGGCGGCAAATAAAGCCAAGCTTCTATTCCGTGGCCAGAAGGTGTGTCCACGAGAACGACGGCGTTAAAGGACAAGGCCTCGTCGCCAGTGGACCCCGTACAAGCCACCCACGCTGGTTTTCCCCACCCAAAATCAACGTCATAGAGCCCAAACCCGCACCAACTCGAATATCCCACGTAAGCCTCGCCACCAGCAGCTTCACCCGCCATCTCTCCAAGCGCCTCGCAGTATCTGACGCTCCCTCCTTCACCTTGCAAGCTCTTCACCAAGTCAGCATCAATTTTTGTTATTGATTCCCTAATTTTGATGACCAGCTCGGGCAGAAGCTCAACTCCCCTGCTTAAGGCTGGCGCTGCCCACAGGAAATTACCCATATACCCTTCCGAAAATGCCGGAACTGCCCTCCTCCGCATGTTCACCGCGTGCGATATTAAAACAGAGTCGCTCTTCAAGGCCGCCGTCATAGACTTCCAGATAAGGGCGGATACAACCTCCACTCGAGTAGGATTCGGCACTCTGGAGCTGGACCCCTCGGCCGTCAGCTTCGCCATTGCCGACGCCCCGAACCTGAGTCTCCTTGTGACGGTCTTGCCCCTTTTAATGAAGCGCCCACACAGAGCCATAATGCCTGCGTGCTTGGGTAATACATCCGCCTTGTCGGGGAATATTACTGGCGGAGCCTCAAAATTAGGAGATGGGTGGTGATCATTAGCCTTACGAGCCGTGGCAGCCCAGCTTTTGAGAAAGAAGCTTGTTGCAGCCCCATCGGCTATCATGTGGGACACGATGGCGCCGACGGTTAAGGCACCGCATTCAAAGGCGGTCACTCGTATCGCGGCCACGTGAACTCCTTGGCTTGATTCGTCCCAAGTCGGTTGCACGGGGAGAAGTTTATGCAGGGATGATGCCAGATTGGGCTGGTTGAAGAAGTGGGCAAGAGTAGAGTTTGCCTTTGCCTCGGAAAAGGGAATGCCTCGGTCGTCACAATCAACGAAAAGCTTGTCATTGATGGTGCCGGCGAAGGGGTAGAAGAGAGTCAAGGTTTCTGATAAGGATTGGCACAGCAGATGTAATCTGTGGTGGCCATCAAGGGTAGCATCGGTGTAGAACAGAATCATGGGTATGTAGATGGGAGGCACGAAGTGATCCAAGAGAGAGAGGTTGTGGGATTTGAGGTCTTGTGGAGTCAGGTGGGAGGGTTTGATGCAGTGGGTGGAGATTATTCGGACTTCCATCTTCGCTCTGGTATTTGTCACTCACAAGAAACAAAGCGCCTTGATTTGAGAAAGCCCTCTTACGTTGCTACCCTTATGTATGTAAGTATTCAGTGACTCGGAGATCCAATTCGTCAAATTTTTTTTTTTTAACAAAAGATCCAATTCATTAATTAACCATTTTTTTTAAACAAAAGATTCAATTCATTAATTAACCATTTAAAAATACTCTTAATATTGAATATGATAAATATATACATTGAATTTATTATTTTTTTAAAAAAATGATATATTCATCCTTATAAGTGTCTATATATGGAAACAAAATCCTGAGGATGCATTAATTGGCACTGATTCTCCTCCTGTTATACAAATGGCAATAAAAGTCTATATAGTTGTAAATATGAGTACTTTTATTAAAAGAATGATTTGTCTTTAACAGGATAAGCTAGCTAAAAAAATCATGTACTTAAAAAATATGAATTAAATTTTTAAAAATTTAAAAGTATAGTCAATTTATATTAATATATTAAGGGTTTATCATTGATATACAATAACATATCATTGACAAATATAATAAATTGATTATAATGCAAAATGTGATAAATGTTGAGCTGTTTGTTTGGTTTGATATTATAACATGAAATATATCTGTACAAGCTCCTTTTTTAACTATCATTTGTCTTTTTTATATATATAAACTGATTATTAGAGTGACCAAAAAAATTTGATAATCAGGTACAATTCATCACATGTGTGTTTAAACAATAATTTATCAAGTGCATCAGAGACATAGTGTCTGAAAAATGAACAACAAGTTTTCGGGTTCATTTATCTCAATTTACCTAGATGTAAAGATGCAAAACTAATTACGTAAATGTGTTTTAATTAATGAAAACATAGTAAAAAGCTACAACAATTACTACTTACTTCCTTCCTTCATCCTTATATATAGGATGTTTTTAATTAAATGACGCAAACCAATAAAAGTTAGTTATCTACTTAAAAGCACAATAATATTTTAATTTTACTCTTAATTATTGTAAATAAAAAATAAATCTCTTTTTTCAGATTAAATTTATGAGCACTTATCTTTTTCCCTTTCTAATATAATGAGGGTATAATGGTCTATTTATTAAAAAAATATGTTAACAGTCTCTTATATTTAAGGACAAAAAAAGGTTCTAAAAAATATTCTATATATAGGAATGGAGGAAGTGTGAAAATAGAAATTCAAGTCTAATTACAGAATATAAAGTAAATTAGAATTGAAAATAAATAATATGTATGTTTCATGTAGATTCTATGTGTCTTGACTTGCTCAATTGATCTCCTTTTGTAATTGTATGCTCGAGATTATTATGCTCGAAGAATTTGAAGACTGTATGTGAAATATCTGCAATTACTAAGTATGGCCTTGCAAGATTTGTGGCATGTCAAATAACAATCTCATGTCTACTTAACAGCCTTCCACATCTATTCTTTTTAAGTTTTAAGGTTTGTGCCTCTAAGCACATGCTTAGCACGCAACCTTATTATTTTGCCTTGTTTTTATTTAGATATTAGGCCTATCATTTCATTTTCCCTTCTCTTTATTATTTTGGATTTGATGCTTTATTTTAGACCATAACCGATGCCAAATTATTTTTAAAATTGAGTTGTATGTAAAATAAGAAAGAGTATATTTTGAAAAACTTATTTTAAATAATTTATAATTTATGTAGCTTGTTACTCTTGATAAATTGATATTAAAGGGTGCGTGGGAAGAATGGCTTCTATTCTCTCAAGTTAAGATAAGTCACTTTCAATATTTATAGTGCAGTACATGTCAAGGTAATAATGTTTTTTTTTAAATCTAATGAAAAATTAACTTATTTTTTATATTTATTCTTATTCACACTAACCCCTCCATGATTTCTCATGTATAATTATTCCTTTTGTACTAACTGTTCGTCAAGGAACAATAAGTTACCAAGTATGCCATAGATATTGAGTTTCAATTGATAACAAAAGAGTTTTCGGGTTCTCTTATCACAGTTTACTCGGATGTAAAAGATATACAAAATTTGACAGAACAAATGTTTTGATTATTAAAATGTAAACTGATTATACATCTAAACTGAAGAAATAAAGCTAATAGATAAGCCTAAGAACCATGGGTGCAGAATACGAGTCTTTTGAGTGTTGACTTTTTCTTCTTCTGCACTTTGGTACTCTATTTATAGTAACAGGGTGATAGTAGCCTCTCCCTTAGAATCTAAAATGTTCTTCTGAAGAATCAAGAATTCCGCAAGACTCATGACATGGTCTTTATTCACTGTCTTTCATTTTTAGTAACTAGCCCATCTCACTGATATACTTAAGTACAATGATATTGTTCCTGTGAGATCCAAGATCATTTGAGATAATGTCTTCATGTACCAACGGTTTACCGAGTGTGTTTGCAACTGGTGAGATTTCGACATACTTTTTTGGCTGTGGCTTTTCATTAAACCTGGGGCTAGACTCTTTATTTATATGGTTGATTGGGCTTGACTCTTCAATCACTTAGCCCATATGACTTTATGACCTACCCAATACTTTGGCAAGCGATGTTTCATATTTATTCCAAATACTAACTAACACATATAAGAATAGAAAAATAGTTCTTAAAATTAGAAAGTTAATCTTTACATTTTAGACTAATAATAGTTTTGTAGACAATATCTTGCACTGTAAATAGAATGGTGTATTCACTAGGTTGAATGGTCCAGCACTAGAAATGGATAATATTACCTTTTATAATTCAAACTTGAAATCACTTCATGATTGCCTCATTGACAATGCGATTGAAAATATTTTTTGCTATAAATATAATTTTTAGTCTTTATACTTTACTCACATTTTTAATCCCCTTTTTTTTCTTTTGGAGGGACCAAAAACAATGAAGATAAAAATATAGGAATTTAAAACATCGAAAAAAATTATAAAGACCAAAAACAAAACACGAGTAAGTATAAAGATTAAAAGTTATATTTGCCCTTTTTTTTTACATAGTAGAGCAAAGCTCAAACAAAATTACACCAAAGTCAACCGTGAACAAGTTAAGCCCATTCTATCCCTATATAGTAAATCAAGTAAACTTTCAAAAGGCTCACTCAAAATTTGTAATCCATATTCCTTTGATAAACTCTAATTAGTCAGTCAGTCAGCATTAAAATTTCCTTTTCTATAAGTATGTACCACTCATATATTCCAACTATTATCAATCTTATTCTGTATTTGATGAAGGATTCTATTCTTTACACAGGAACATGACAATAATTGTTGTAGCATATTTATAATTGCAATAGAGTCCGATTCAATTATAACTTTTCTCACACCCAATCTTTATAATGTGAGGAAACCAGACCATACTTCCTATAACTCCATCTCCAAAATTGCACATACTCACTCTATTAATGAAACCCGCTCTCTATTCAACATTGATGTCCCTTATTACTCCTTTATAACCAGCGTCATTAGGGCATCCCTTAGTAGCACCATCAATATTTAGCTTCAACTATCCATATTCAAGCACCACCACCTAATATCCTCCCATCTCTTTAGACATGCATTTTCATCCACATTATAAGCCTTCATAATTTTATCCACATATTTCAAAATACTCATAGCAAAAATCTTGGAGGAATCAAAGTTATTATCAAATATCATTTTATTTCTCTAAGAACACATGAACCATATAACCACCCTAAATATCAAATTCCAATTACCTGCATCCCCCCTTGAACTATCTCCTAAATTATTTTGAAACCATTCATGCAAATCTAAACAAAAAAAAATTAATAGAGTGCATACCTCTTATCAGCACTCATAAGAACAATCCCTCAACATATGTAAACAAGACTCCTCCTCCAATCTACATCTGCAACAAACAATAAACCCATCAACATCTTTAAATATTTTAATAGACGTTAGCAATCTATCTAAAGTAGCCATTTGTATGAACATTTGAATATGCCTCAGGCCTTTCCAAGACAAAATTTTCTTCTAGGAACTATTTCCCTCTTATTGATCAAACCTACTTAATTGCTTGTACATTGTAGCAACATTAAAATCATCAAATCCACCACCTAACCAACGAATTCTATCTTCCTTTGCAAACTCACAAAGAGGCAGCGAAGCTCGAATCCTTCCTGCTGTTTCCTTAGGTAACCATCCCTTTAATTCCTCTAATCTCCAACCACCCCTCTCATCCATATAATCCCCTCTCCTCCACACTTCCATAATTCATTAGGTGCAGGTATCACCAAGCATTTTTCAACTAAAGGTTTACTATTATTCACCCACCTATCAAACTAGAAATTCACTCTTCTCCCAAAACATATTTATTGGCCTCATTCAAATATCTATTGATTTTTTTTTAGGTCAAATGTCTTCCTATTGATTGCATGGTGAAACGTTCTCACTCCACTAAACATAATTAATAAATAAAATTCATGTAACCAAAGGATTAGCTCAAAAAGTGATTGCCAAGATTTAATCCAAAAGTAAGGGATCCTAAGTTTTCTAAATAGAAACAAGTTAAAATCAATCAAAATCTTTTATATCAAAGTAAAAATAAGTTTTGAAAGTATGAGATACCTCAGAGGAGTGAAAAAAGTTGAAAACAGTTGAAAAACAAAACATGTGCTATGATTTAGAGCCATGTGTCGTGGCTCGTGCACGCTGCACCGTAACATGTTGCTCTTTGTGCCACGCACCGTGGTCAGGTGCCATGCGTCGCAGCATGCTATATGAAATTTTCATTAGTTTGACTTTCATTTGACAACAAAATCAGGGAAACTTTTGACTCGCCCCAATTCTTCATCCAAATAATATGATCTAGGTATCTATAAAAAGCTCTTTATATTAGCTAGATAATGGCACGGCTTTCACTTCCAAAACAAGTCACACTAGGAAGTTGGACACCCAAACAAATTTTAACTACTTTTAAACACTTTTACACAAAAATGGGTGTCCAAGACCCTCAATAAGTGTTAAAAACTTTTCTTAACACCTGGACCATGTCCAATGGACCTAGGACTACCAGTATAACACGTCATAAGCATCAAAATATCGATATAACTAAAATTCACTCGTCAGCCCTAATTTATTAAAAATAAAGGGGGAGGTAATTTGCCATCGCATTTAACTCAAATCATTCAAAACATGCTAAAATCTTCATTTCTACACTTGTACTAGTATTTTGGCCCTATAAACATATATATATCAACATACACGAAGGCTAAGAGCTCAAAATATAATTCTAACATTTTCAATAACTAGAATAGTGCAAATGTGGTAATATGCATTTTAGAATTGGCAATTCATATACCATTATACAATTAAAGCTAAAATAGAGGCATACAGCAAAAATATGCTAATTCCCTAGCTCTTTAGTCCTCTCCCTCTCAATATTAGAGCTAGAGCCTGAAAAGTATTAAATAAGAGGGGTGAGTCTAACCACTCAGTAACAAAGGTTAAACCTACCATATGCAGTTATATATCAATTATAAAACAAATACATGTACAAGGAGATTAAATATGTAAAATAAGTCCACATATATCACAATTTATCATTTATCACTCTATAGCTTCTTTACTCACATAACTAGGTGTATTATCACCATATTCTCAGATATGTGACATGACCTATACTCTTGTGACCTGCCACTACTTAGCACGTGTGATACGTCATATATTTACTTAGGCAATGATCAACTAACCTTATATTCTCCTTATTTTCTCAGACTAAAATTGTGGGTTGTGACACTGATTAGGGCTCCGTTCGTGTAATTGGACTACCTAAGCTCACCAATCATGAGGTGTGACCCGATCAAAGATCACAGGACTTACTCTCGTACCACGACTTCCCCCATTCTCGAATCCCTGGGGTGTCTCATACCTAAGCTATTCTCCTCATTAAATCGATAGAGATAGCTAGGTTCTAGTCCCTCGACAAACTATGAGATAGTCCCTCAACGAATAGTGGGATAAGGTTATAGCCCTCATGCACTGGAGGGCAGCCTAAATAACATATGAATTTTTCTCTACTCCCAATCCGTAGGCGAACTTCAGTCACTAATCATGTCATAATTAATACTCACTTGTGTTTATTTTTCACTTTCATTTACTCACTATTACAACAACCATGTTAAGCTCACGACCTTGCGCTAAGTGTGTATTCTCATCATTTTCTCAAATTCATTTCATTACTAACACACAAATATCTCTACACATCATCACATTCATTTTTTTTTCAAAAGTATAAGCAATTTCATAGTAAAATCCTCTTGATTTTACATTTTGCATTTTCAAGCCAAAATAGCTTTTTCATGCACTCAATGAAACTAATACGCATAGTGTTTACTTTAACAATTCATTCCATGTATGTAACATTTACAATTAGCATTCATCAACTAATTGACCGTCAATTAACAAATAACTACCCAAAGTAGAGTTTTTCCTTAGTTACCTCCAACCTTTGAGAGATCAAAGGTTTACCCCTCAATCAACTAGCTTTCAAGTTTGAATTTCCACTCTAATAGGTGACCAAGAGCCAAAACTACAATCAATGAAGTTGAATTCCATCAACATGACAAATTCAAATATTTGAACTCTCAATCTCTACTTCTAAATTGGCCAACCTTCACTTTACAAGAGGTGGAACCTAACCATTGAGTTTAATAATTACCTTTAACCCCTAATAGCATTAATGAGCCATTAAATTCTCATTAATGGCATCACAAACTTTCAACCACCCATAATAAATAGGATTTTCGAGTATTAATAGTGTCCAACAACCCAAGACATCAAAACTCATTATACCTAGGTTTAGATATTCTAATCTACCCTCATTAACTCCATTTGAGTTAACAAACTCAAACCCATAACTATGTAGACCGAAATCCCACTTCTACTATCAAGCTCTAACCATAAGCTCATAAATGTGGAAGAAATGGAGGGATTATTGAGTATGATACTTACCTTAGGTGTTTGTAGCCTTTAAAATACTCTAGTCATCCTCAAGTAAACCCTAGCAGAGCATTGATATGTCCCTTCTTTCTTTCTTTCCTCTTCTCTCTATTTCTGTCTCATTTTGCGTCTGATAAACTATAAAAAATGGTCATGCACTACAACACCATACGCCACAGCGAACGCATAATGCGTCGTGGCACATGGCACAGAGAGGTTCTCCCTCACTCAAAAATGGCTATGCGCCGCGGCGTATGGCACAGCAATTTCAACTCTCCCTTTTCTTCTCCTTTTGATGCTCGGGTGGCCTACCTTGATATAAGACCCACAACTAGGGCTGAAATACCACTAAATATGATTATTAGACCTCTCTAGCCACACACTACTTCAACTCACTTAATTACCCTAATTAACTTTAATTAATTAGGGAATTAAAATTCAGGATATTATACATGGCTCACTTTTACAGCTTTCACAATAGAGAAGCCTCATTTTATAGCTGTCGTAGCAAATATACAAAGAGTACTTTAAACATGCCTTTTGGATTGGCAAATGGATTAGGATTTGATTACCTCTCGTTTGTTTGTTTTTTTTTTTTTTGGGTGTGTAAGAAGAGCCTATTCTTAAATGGTGTAATAAACTTACTTTTTAATCAAACAGCGAATCGCATGACTCTTTGTGACAATTATTTTATATGAAATATTTAAAATATGAAAGATAAAAAGTTGGGATGAAGAACAATGGGAGAATTGTAGAGAGTTGATAAGGTAGCGTTATTGTTATAAAAAAAATTACAAAAATTTTAAGATGGAAAAAAAAAACACGCACACACAAGCAGAGGAGTAATGATGGCGTGATTCTACTAGATGTGGCATTTCTACTGGTTGCTAGAGATTTGGAGAGCCCGGTAGATGCATGCTGATTTGCACTGAGACAGAGAAATTGGGCAAAATATTTCAAAGAAGGCATCTGTATGTTGTTGGGTGCGTTAAAGGAGTTGAAGAGGCAAAGTGTGAAGGGGACTTCCATAGGTCTCTTGCTTCCCCTTTCTGTAGGCTAAAGTGATAGTTTTTCTATTGATTTCATAATCTTTCAACTTTCATTTTTTAGGGCCACTACCACTTGTTGCAAAATTTTCTTAAATTTTTTCATTTTCTCCCATTGTTAGAAGTACTTCGGTAACCCTTCTTTGAAAATAAACCCCCCCTCTATAAACACGAGTTGAACTCAGAGACAAATAATATTGAAGTAGCCCAAACACCTCCCATTTTTTTGGTCTTGAAATTATGTGAAATCTAGCGAGAGATTTGAGAGAATTATTTTTATTTGTATTCCATATTAAATTTGACTTTACAACAGAGGATATTGGATTAGAAAAATACTATCATTGTATATTTAATATACTTTTATTCACTTAAATTAGGACAAGTGAATTTTAATATATTAATAATATTAGTAAAAAATTTTGTTATAAAATAAATAATATATAAAAAATCCACACGTCTCAAATATATTATTAAATATATAAATTTCACTTTAAAAAAAATTACGAAGACTAGGTTTGGCATGATTCCTTTTGTAAATATGATCTTTATACTTATCTCTCAATAATTTAGCTTTTTTCCTGTGTGTTATGGCAAGCATTTTAAATTAATTTTAATTTTTTTTGGGTTGAAAATTTGATTGACAGGGTTGATGAATGCTGTTGTTGATGCCAATTTCCTCTTAAAAATCTTTTTAAATTTCATTCGAAATTTGGAGAATTCTCATATATTCAAAATGTGTCGAAGGGAAAATATAACAGGGTGACGGAGTGGAATGTGACGAAAGAATAAAATTTGAGAATGAAGCTCAACAGCACATGTTGGTGGCAGCGAAAACATTTAATTAAATGAGTTGTTGCAGCGAGGACCTGGATCAGAGTTGCTGGTGCTCTCAAGGAACAAGTTCCCATCGTTAACTAAACATCCAAAATCAAGCCTCACCGAAACGTAAACAGACAGGCCAATTTAGCATTAATGTTGGTCGATTAACATAAACAGACAGGCCGATTTCCGTGTATCTCATTTTCTAAACTCTTAGCATTAACTTTGGTCGATTAAACAAAAAATAAAAACACAGTAAATTTGATGAAAAATAAAATAGCTAAAGGGGGAGAGGAAGAATATATATATATATATATATATATTTTTTAATTCTCTAATTTTATAAAAGATTTTGATTTGATTCATTAATTTTATAAAATGTTTAATCCTTTAACTTTAACATTATTAATTTTAAATAATTATTTTTTATATAAATTATTATTATTTTAAAAAAATTAAACTTAATGTCTCTACATTTAAAAATATTTTATTAATATTTAAAAATTTAATGTAAAAATTTATTAAAATAAAATTAATAATATCAAAAATAAAAAATTAAAAAAATTATTAAAAATTAAAAAAATTAAATATACACTAAAAAAAGGTGCCCAGACTCGAAAGTCAAAAGCGAGAAAACAATCTGAAGGGCTTGACAGACCAAGTGTCGAGGGTGCGGTTTTGCCTTTGTATTTTATTTGATTGTCGGGGACAAACCGGAACGAGGCGTTATCATATCATATGCCTGCGCCTGAAAGGCGGAGGCTACAGATCTGACCATCCCCTTCCCTCCGCCCAGGCCTCAAGGCAATGCCGGAGTCATTCCTTGGAGGCCATCATTATTCACGTCATGGCTATTGAATACCGATCATGATTTTGTGCAAATAAAAGAAAATGAATGAATAAAATCCGCTTGTCATCTTCCATTCTCTCCCTCTGCAATTCTCTCTTCGTGTGAGGGGGGAGCGCGCCTCCTCCTGCACCGCCCCTGCGCACCAATGGCTTTTCACCGGCGGCGTCTCCACTATCACCAGCGCTTCCGCTTTCTGATTCCGTTCATTTCTGCCATCGTCGCTGCTTTACTCATTCTCTTCGCTCTCCTTTCCCTTTTAGCTCCTTCTCCTGTTGATACCGCTCATCTTCACCGGAGCCGCCGCCAATACTCGGTACTCTTCCCGTCTCTTCCTCTCTTTCTCTCAAGCTCACTAACGTAATTCTTTATTAATCATATGCGAATTCCTTACGCTTTTCCCCAATTCTTTTCTAGTTTGAAGCCGAAGCCGACGATGCGATTGGAGTACCCTCGTTTCGTGTTCCGGTCAGGGTTCATATGATCTGTTTAGCTGGCTGGCTTATACATGTTTTTGTCTCCGGCACCTGATGCTGGTTTTCTTCTTGTATCTTAATTCGGTATTTGTGCTTTGTTTTAATTTTCCGATAATCAGGCCGATGGAGGAAAGTTAGATCGCGATGTCTGGAGCACTAGAAATTCCGAGTTTTTTTCCGGCTGCAGCAATGCAAGCGCCAAGTTTCCAAGTGCGTATCTCATTGCACTATGTCTGATCAGTTCCCTACTGAAGTTTTGCAATGTAAAACTGCTCATTTCTAATTAGGAGGATGTGCCTCTATCTTCCGAGTCCTAAATGCTACTTTTATTTTATTCCATATGTTTAGATATGAATGAAACTATGGTTTTCATTTGTCAGAAGCTGAAGTGATTACGCAACCTAATCGATATTTGATGATTGCAACAAGTGGAGGGTTGAATCAGCAAAGAACAGGGGTAACTTATCTGAACTCTGTGTTATTAGTTTAATGAAGCAAGTATTTCATATTTATCTCTTGTTTCTCTGAATGATCTATCATCTATGGTTCTAAAATTTATAATCCAGATATTCAAAAGCATAACTGTTAAAAGAGAAAGAGAAAGAATCAACAGGAGCACTACATAAATGTGATGAATCAGATTTGTGGCGGAATGAATCAGCCAATTGATTATCTTTCTTGTGGTTTAGAATGTTATCATTGCATGGAGATAAGTTATCGAACTTGGGGCTTATTTAACAAAATTAACATGAAAAATTTTCATCTGCATTCAAACAAGGTTGTGAAAATGAGTGGCACATTTTTATCCATTTTAATGTTCATGGATGCCTTTTCACTTGTTTGAAACCTTGTTAAATTCCTGGTTTTGGATGCAAGACTCCTAACAATTGAGATGATGAACCGTCTGAGGAGCTTGTAAACTGTAACGTAACATCTTCAAGATGATAGCAGTTGTTGAAAAACTATACTTGGTTTTTTCTTTCATTCCTTCTTGTAATAGAAAATCTAATGGATTCTATTGTTTGCAGCAACATCTGATTAATGAGAACCAGTACAAACTTCCTGTTTAGTGATTTCTTTGGATGAGAACAAGGAAAATTCATTGTATTTCTTGATCACTGGGTTTCCTTGTTCATTGATTACAAATATTTGCGTGTTGTTGGACCCACAATTAATGGGCCAATCTTGTGACTATGGGCTTTGTGAGAGAGAGGAGTTAGGTGTCGGGCATATATTGTGTGTGAGGGGGTCAGAAGGGCAGCTAAGGAGTTTGTGAGCGGATAGGGGCCTTGCTTTAGTATTTATGCCTTGTTCTTATTTTCCAGAAACTTGTAGCTAATCTAGCTTAGACCTATACTCTAGCTGGATTTTATCATTAAATAGTATATTTGAGTTGTTGGGTTTCCATATACTCTTCTATCATATCAACCTTTTCTTTTTTGCATCTGGCAGATTACAGATGCTGTTGTTGCTGCACGAATTTTGAATGCTACTCTTGTTGTTCCAAAGTTGGACCAGAAATCTTATTGGAAAGATTCTAGGTCAGTTATGGAAGGAAATATATTTTCTTACGCCCTTTTTAATTATGCCATTGCTTTGCTATCATGCCATCATTGGCAATGAAAATTTTTAATTTAAAATATTGTGATACTTTGCCTTTTGCAGTAACTTCTCACAGATATTTGATGTTAATTGGTTTATCTCCTATCTGAAAAATGATGTCAAAATTATCAAGCAACTCCCTAGAAGGGGAGGGAAAACGTTAACTCCGTACACCATGCGTGTTCCAAGGAAGTGCAATGAAAGATGCTATATAAACCGTATAGTACCTGTACTTCTGAAGAAGCGGGTAAGTTTTGTACTTCCAAAAGCATTTTCTGTTGCCTATTTATTGTAAAACTTATTAGATGCTCTAATGTTATGAAGATGACTTTTTTCATCTGTCTTTTTGATTGCTGTTTGTTGCTTGGAAGACATCAAATAGTCGAGTCGTATGCTTTGGGGGGTGTGTGTGTGTGTATTATATAATTAAACAAAACTTGACTTGGCATTTCCATAAATATATTTCATCAATCTAGGTGATTTGTCGGTGCAAAATATGCTATTCAGCGCTTTACATGGAATTTCTAAAGCCCTTTCCTTAAAGAAGGAAAAACCAGGGCTCAAGGATCAGTATGGTCAAACGTTGGTGTAGTGTAACTTGTTGGGGACAAAATAGGTCTGAAGTCATTAGTAGTGTTTCCGAATTTCCCTCTTTGCTTTTCTCATATTTTCATTTTTAGGATAATATATGATCCTCATATCTTTTGACACCCCACCTAGTAGGATAAGGGTAGTTGTTGTTGTATATAATCATCATACCTCGCATTTGTACTGTCTGAGACTGTCGTAGACCTCAATTGAACTCAACCATTTGAGCTTTCTGTTATAGTAAGTGTTGTCTAGTATTATTTATGAATTTAATTGTAAATTTAAGCTTGTTATGCATGATTCTTATAGGTCAAGGACTAAAGTTCAAGTTGGACAGATCTTATATTAACGTAAATTGTATTATTTAATTGAGTGCAATCAGCATTTGAATTTTCATCAACTGGTTACTGTCTCTTGTTTGTCTGATGCATTTGAACCATAACCATTGATAATCAATTACCCTATTTGTCTAGAAAGACTGTCTCTTCTTCCTTTCCTTCAATTTTAGTCCTGACCTGGATCTTTAATATCGGCCAGGCCATCTTATCATAATGCTACTTGCACTATTCATATCTTTCTTGAATTTGCCTCAAATCCTATGTTGTTCAAAGATGCCGTTCACCATAGCTTCGGATTTTTTGTTGTTAGTCATTTTTTAGCAAACAAGACTCTACATATCAATTAAACTTTCAAATCATGAGTTCCCAAATTTAGCCTACATAAATTTGTAGTTACGTTGCTTCTATTCTGAATTTGTTCAACCAAACAGCTTTCAACTTTAGGGTTCTCCGTATGGTTGATGAATTCTGCCATATTCCTTTTAATGTTTGTTGGTTTTAGGAGTAACTTCTGGAAAACAAATGTGGCATGTGTTATGCACAAGAAACTGTGAAAGGTGTTGAAGATGCTTGAGAACAAATGCAAGCACTAGTCAATTTCAACTGTTGCTTTGTAGTTGCAATCTCTATCCCCTTTAGATAGAGCACCTTATATTTATTAAAATTTCATCATTGCATCATATATCTCTATCACTTTGTAGCTCCTAAACAATTTATTAGTGATTGAAACTTTGAGTTTAAGCTTTTTATTGTCAGGTCATATTTTTCTAATTGATTTTGTATAAGGGTTAATTCTTGAATATTTTATTATCTAGGAAATATATTATTATTGTTACTACTTTTTTTTTCTTTTTTTTTTTTTTGTGGCAGGCTGTCCAGCTCACCAAGTTTGACTATAGGCTTTCTAACAGGTTAAGTACAGATTATCAGAAGTTGAGATGTAGAGTTAATTACCATGCTTTAAGGTTCACTGACCCGATAACAGCAATGGGTAAAAAGTTGGTCAATCGAATGAGGAGGAGAAGCAAGCATTATATTGCACTGCACCTGAGGTAGTCTGATTGATTTTTTATTTTTTATCATCTGGTTATTCTTCATTTTCAGTTCACATGTTCGAGTCACCGGTAATAGATGGAGTGATCAGTAGATCACCATCAAAATTCTGTATGTTAGCATCATAGAAGTGTGCAGGTCCATGTTTATCAGTAACATGCCTTGTGTAACAATAATTGCATATAAACATTCATGTCAAGTATGGATCAATTCTCTGGCTCAGAAAAAAGGTCTTGGTCAATTCTTAGTTGCCGTGATACATGCAATTTCGCATCCATGTTCATATCCAATTCCTTGATATTTGTGCTTGGAAACTGAATAATCATGTAATTTTTGCATATTTTCTTCCAGTTTGAAATTCAAGAATGATCAGTTTATGGGCTAGGACAGTTTTAGCTGAAAGATGGTGTTATGCAAGATCGAATATAATTTAAGTTGGAACAGTGGCTTCAGGTGGCAGATGTAGTTGCAGTTTTTTTTAGTCTTCTAGGCAACGTTATGAGACTGGCCATTGAACCAATCGAGGCACTGGTTCAATGGTCAGACTTGGTTGTGATTAAATTAATATATTTGAAAAAGATGTATGTTGGTGGGGTTGATCGTCAAGCATATTTGAGAGACAAATTACTACTGAATTAAGAAGATATTTTTTAAAAAAATTATATATAGATTTTTTTTTTAATTTGTACAAAATCATGATAGTATTCAGTAGCCATGACGTGAATAATGATGGCCTCCAAGAAATGACTCCGGCATTGCCATGAGGCCTGGGCGGAGGGAATGGGATGGTCAGATCTGTAGCCTCTGCCTTTCAGGCACAGGGATATGATATGATAACGCCTCCTAAAAAAGATATAGATAAATAGTTGGAAGAGTATAGATGAAAGATATTCCCATATATAAAGAAATAAGTTTAAAGAATTAACAAAAAAGGGATGATGATCAACCAAAAAAAGGAAGGAAGCATGTTGGTGGGGTTGGTGATCAAGCAGTTTTTAGAGGCAAATTACAGCTGAATTTAAAATATATTATTTGAAAAAAATATAGATGAACACTTGTAAGAACATAGATCAAGGATATGTTCATACTTAAGAAATAAAATCAAGGAATCAACACAAAAAATGCACAGAGATCAACAAAAAACAGAATAAGAAAAAAAGGGGAAGCTTGCATGTGGAGATATTTCATTGGAAGTTGTCCCCACATTGCTTAAACCATGAGGAGACGAGGCGCTGGAGTTTAAGAAAGAAATGGATGAGAATGCTTCAACTTGGATTTCGTGGGTGGTGGTTTCTGCAAACCATGGGCCCAATAGTGTCAGATATTTTATTTGTTTGGGTTTTTTATTTTATTTTATTTTAGGTAGGCTCTTTTCTTTTCTAATTCTGTTGACCGAACTGGTACATCTCTAGTCTGGTTCACCGTTTCTTGATCAGCTGGGTGGTTTTCTACTGTTTTTAGTTTAGCCTGGTTCTTAGTGAATTCCGGACCAGACTAGGCACTAGTTCCTGGTTGAACCAATTCAACTGGATGGTCCAGTCCCGTTTTCAGAACATTGCTTGAGTATCTAACTAAAATATGTCTAAAAAGTTAGTTGTTGATAGATTATAATGGCATAGGGTGATTCATGTAGTTGATCTCATTTGGTAAGATGGTGCTGCTGTTTCTTGTTGTTTTAACTATCTGGCTAAAGGACAAAAGGCTGATTAGCTTTGTCCAGTGGGCAATTTCTTCATTCATTTGAAAAGCTTTTTGGTTCAATCAAGGGGACTGATGATAACTATTTGTTTATATAGTTGCCTTGGGTTCTTTATTATATTTGGCATCTCTAGGAAAGAAGTAAATTATAAGGCAAGTAGAAGCGTGGCATACTTGCGAGGTTTGTTTTTGAAAAAAGACTTTCACATTTAGGAGGAGTATGACGGGAAACATAATGAAGATAATTAGGATTATTTGTCGTATTTAAATTGGCACATTTTATTGGGATGTCTAAATTTTTCTTTTAGATTTATGTGATTTAAAATTTGCCAAGTAGTATTTATCTTTTATCTAGATATAATCTGAATGAAGTTTATCTCACCGTTAGGATTATAGCAGTTCAACTAGAATTAGGAATATGGCTCTATAAATAAGTCCTAGGACCATTTATTTGTATAGATTTTTGCCCATTGAATAATAGTCAGATTATTTGCAGTATCTCTCCCTCCTGGAATTTCTCTTTATTTTCTCCCACTTTATTCTCAAATACTCCCTCCTCCCTCCTCCCTCCTCTCCCCTTCCCTTGCTGTTTTACTTCTGTGTACGTATTGAGATTGTTTCTAGATCTGATTATAGTTTCCTGTTGCAGATTTGAACCTGATATGCTTGCATTTTCTGGATGTAATTATGGTGGAGGAGAGAAAGAACAGAAGGAACTGGGGGCAATAAGGAGGAGGTGGAAGACATTACATGTAAGGCTCACATGTTTTGACTTCTTTTACCCTTATTCTAAACCATGATTTGAGCTTGGTGATAAAAGCAATTGGATACAAAAAATGATTGTATCTTGTTTAATTTCAGAAATTGTTTTTGTATGCCTGAGTGCATAAGGACCTGATCACGTGGTTTACATATATTATGCATGATATGATTACACGGTGTATTAGTGCATGGAAACTAACTGGAAGGTTTTAATGTTGTAAAATTGACATGAAGTTGTGAAAAATGCCTTCGATGCAAACTGATTCAGATTTTTTTTTAAAAAAAAAAGAGTATTGACCTGGTGAACGTTACAAGGAACATGTTTTATTGAATTTCAGAGGAACAATCCTGACAAGGCAAGGAGACAGGGAAGATGCCCATTAACCCCTGAAGAAGTTGGTCTCATGCTAAGAGCACTGGGGTATGGTGCTGATGTTCACATCTATGTAGCATCAGGGGAAGTCTATGGTGGGGAAGAAACACTGGCGTCTCTCAAAGCGCTATTTCCTAACTTCCATACAAAAGAGACCATTGCTACCAAGGAGGAATTAGAACCATTTTCCTCATTTTCTTCTCGCATGGCTGCACTTGACTTCATTGTTTGTGATGAAAGCGATGTATTTGTGACCAACAACAATGGAAATATGGCTAAAATATTAGCTGGGCGAAGGTATATGGTATTTCATTTGCTTTTCATATATTGTCTTTTCTCATCATCACTGTTACCTAAACATGCTGATTAACTTTGAGATATTTCCTGTAGGAGATATTTTGGGCACAAACCAACTATTCGTCCAAATGCTAAAAAACTCTATCGGTTGTTCTTGAGCAGAACTAACATGACTTGGGAAGTTTTTGCTTCTGGAGTTCGTACTTTCCAGAGAGGCTTTATGGGGGACCCAAAGGAACTTAGACCAGGAAGGGGTGGGTTTCACGAGAATCCCTTTACCTGTATATGTGAAGATTCTGTGGCCAATAAAAGTACAATTTCTGGACCAAGAAAGTTTGGGAAGGATGTGACAAAGAGACATGTAATAGATGGGGACCCTAAAGTTGACAATGAGCCTGATAATGACGATGATGAAGATCAGAATGATATCCAAGAGATGGGTATGTTCAATGAAACCAATTCAGATTATGAAGCTCTGAACTCTGATGATAATGAGCTCGAGGAAATTCTTTCTGATTAGTGAAGCTGGTCAGACGACATTGCTGGATCTTGACTATTGTGATTTCCCCCCCGCTTTGCACTCCCTTGAATGGCTATCGCCTGAGCCAAAATGCCATATAATATCCAAGCATACTGGAAATTGGGAATGTGTGCACATCTTTCTTAACAATGCCTGAAGATTTGGTGGCTGTGATATGGCATTTTTCTCGAAATTATGATTTCAGGAGCGTGTTGTACATCCAAAGGACATGATGGCCTCAGTTTGAAGATGGATCGCTTTAGGACTGCATATTCCAATTTAAAATATACCAGGATCAGAAGTGAGCATTGGGAATGGGAATGAACGTAAGTACGAAATTCAGAGTTTTCTTGTATTAAGTTTGATAGACTATATATCTTCGTCCACAAAATTCATTTCTGTTGGTATTGTATATATTCCTCCTTCTGGCCACCCAGGGCTAACGTAGTTAACTGATCTCACCTTCAGTGATGAGAGGAAGACATCTGTAGTTTTGCACCAAAAGAGGGTGATGGTGTGATTGCGTAAGAAAGAGGGAGGGGAAGGGGGTGATACTTACGGTCATTAGCGGTGGATGATTTTTCTATTCGTTTTTCCAAGGTTTTTACTTCTTGATATTTAATATCTAATCTGGCACTGTAGACTAGTGGGATTCTCTTTACCGGCTGAGACTCACTGAATTGATAGTTTTAAAATGTCTCCTGAATGGGATTTTTGGTTTTCCCCAGTTCCATAAAATCGTTTATTAAGCCCCTTTGCCGCCGACATGCGGACTCTCACCTCATGTTTGGATGGTAGGGTAAGAAAGTTGGGACGGAAAATACCAGGGAAGATAATTTTTGTAATGTTTGGATGAACAGTGAGAAAATGAAAGGGAGGAGAGGTAGGGGGAAATGAGAAGTACACCTGTCACATTTTCTCCTAAAATTCTCTCTTCAAGGATTGAGAGATGGGACGATTATTGGATTCCAACTACTGCCCTCAGCCCCTCTTGATTCCTCTCTGCTCTTTCTGCAACTCGCCTTATTGACGCCCATAGGATCATACTTTTGTTCTCTTCCTTCAAGTCTTCTCTTGTATTATTGGATAAATGGAGCTGAGGTAGCCCAATGGCGGACTGTTTTCACATAGGTGTTTGATTATTTGATAGCGTTTATTTTGCTCTACTTATAGTAGAGAGCTGACTTGTGAGTTGAGACCAGCAAGCCTTGCCTTCTCTCAGACCCCACAAGCATTCCCTTCTTATTTTTCTTTCAAGTTATTATATTTAACTTCAAAAATTTATCTATTTTGATTTTTAATTATGAAGCTAATGTACATTTTTACGAAGTACTTTGATGTCAAAATATTTTGATAATGTCAAGTTTAATGTTATTTTTTCCTTCAATTTATTTTCAGAGATAATTACATAAGATAATATACTATAATATAAGGATATTATAGTGATTGTGATATTGCTTGTTTTCTTTGTGTTCTTGTTCGTCCAAACACTGAAGATAATACTTCTCTTTTTAAATTTTGTTCCAACTCTTTTTCCATTCAAACCGATCATTAATTTGAAATTCTCCTTTCTTTTAATTATAATCTTATATTCATTGGATTAATTTGAGTTATTTTCATTTTTCTTTCAAGAGATGAGACGTCTATTTTCTCAATTTTGTTGGGATTACAAATTTTTTAAAAATTACCAATCTAAACCATTCTATCCCATGATTAGAAATTAGAATATAGAAAATTTAAGAGCATTTCAAATTGAGATGAACTAAAAATGTAATGAAAATATGCCTCTAGACTTTTTATTACCCAAGAAAATGCACCTCTAATTAATTAAAGAGGATATTTTTTTTTTTTGTTACCAACATGTATCTTTCTATTAAGGCAATTTCAATTGAGATAATGTTGAACATTAAATATGAACATCTCCCATAATGAAATTCAAACATTGATTCACGCGTCCAAAAACATAGAAGAGTTTAGCGCTTGTCTGGTCCAAATCATGAGGGCCTAAGGGTTGACTTTGAGGGAAGGTTTACCGACAGATGCCTAAGTTCTTGGGAAAACGAAAATTTTTATTCTCAATTTTTTTCCAGTTATTAATTTAGTCTCTGTAATTTGTCCATTATCAATCATATTCCTATGGTTCATTATCAATCATGTTCCTATGGTTCATTATCAATCATACAAAAGTTGTCTTTACGGTTTGAAAGTAATGTTAGGGAAAATGACATGGACCAAATGGGATTAATTTCATTTCCTTCATGCCATTTTCAAATCATACAGATTACTTTCGTATGATTTTAAAATTACAGGGACATGATTAATAAGGAACGAACTACAAGTACTTAAATTGATAACTGGAAAAAAAAAATGGAGACTAAGAATTTCATTTCCCCCGAGAGTAACAAGACACTGGCATGTGCGCGTATAAAACTTAAATGGTCTCCTCATTGGAGTTCACAACAATAACAAATTCACAATTGCCTCAATAAAATTTATTTGACATTTAGATAAAAGAATTGACATCATAGCAAATAGATTCACCGTCTCAAGAACTGCGCCACACGGCCGTAAAGCTCGTTCTGTCCAAAAATGAAAAATCCACCGACCTAGGGGGAATGCAAGGTTTTATAGCATCTGATCTGACACGTAATCGAAGCAAAGTGAAGGAAATGGGAAAAATGATAGCCAAAAGAATGAACAAATGATTAATCCACAACATTCTTACACGTAATGATCCCCTCGTTATGATGATACTGTTCGGACTGGACTGATAAAAAATATATATAATAGAAACGACGGTGACTGGAATCCTGCTCAATGCGAAGAAGGCAATTCTGATGGTGGATTTAGGATTAAGATGGTGATGAACCAAAGTCCAAATTGGGGAAGACGCCCGGTGGTCTCCCCTGGGGTTCGATGGAAAGCAAGTGACTTGAATCGCCTACCACATCCGCCCATCCATAGTGAGGTTCGGCCCTTCACAGAGAGAACAACTGTCAAATGTAAATCAAAACAGGACTAGACCACTAGCTTAATCAATACATTTTTGTTTACATTCATTTCGTCATAGATAAATAAACGCAAAAGGCAAATCATTTCTTTCGTTTGTCCTTTCTTCGCCAATAATCTTTTTTATTATTAGAGAAGTATGTTTTTACTCGTAATAGGTTTCCTCGTCCACAACGATATCCCAGCTTTCACCGGTTGTGCTATTGCCATATTTATGGACTTTCCTGATACAGGTAAGCATCAAATCAGTTAGTGATATAGCATTAAAACACAACTTTAAAAATCATTTCAAGGGTGAAGGGCACGAAAATTGATAAATTGAGGCATAGATTTTCAAAATTATTAGAATACAAGACTTTTTTATATGCCCAGATTCTATACCCGTTTCCGAAGTGTTCCTCCCCCCACGTTCTTGACCAACCTGGTAAAAGAATGAAACTAGTTATATATTGTATCAAATTTAAAGATACAGTAAAACCCAAATACAGTAAAATTGGAGATCGTATGTTCTAAACTTAATATATGCAACAGAAATTGACATGGATAACTCAAGATCCAGAAAAGTAACTTTATTCCCCCAGTGAAATCCAAAGTAGATCAAAAGACCAAGATTATGGAATTTGATATGGTTTAGATTCCACGGGAAGTCTCAAGTGTGATGATAAATCAGATGCAAGCTGAAGATTATATGCTCTTAGAAATATTGAGAAATAAAAATAGCATTAAGTAAATTGCAAAACTATCCTGTAGGAGCTCAATGGAAAATTTCAATAATATCAGCACCAGGTTGGCGCTTGCCAACAAACAAAATAAAATGAAAGCCAGAAAGGACATTACAAGTTGACAAAATTATCATGAGAACATACGCTCATTGCTTGGAGATAAATGCCATGTTTCCCCATGTCGCGAACCTATGCCTTCAAAGAACCTCTCCTCCCACTTGTCTCCCCATTTTGTTCCAAGTTCAGTTTCAGCCCATTTATCTGTCCTGAGTGAGTAAAGAAGAGGGAGAAAAGGCAACTCAGAGCTACTATAAAAGCTAATTTTGAGATGAAAATTTAGAGTACCTGGTCTTTGCCTCCCAAAAATAGAATCAACAGAAAAGTTCAAATTATATAACCGACAACGGGGGGAAAATAGTAATAAAAAAATGAAAAAGAAAACAGAATGAGAGTCCTAGATAAATTATCATAATGTAATGCTTATTGACACACATAAGGTTTTGATTTTATCATCTTGAAGTAACTACAATTCACACTAAACATGTTCCATAACCAATTATCCATCAATTCAATTAACATAAAATTTGTTCAGACCCAAAAAAAAAAAATGTTAGAAAAAGAATAAAGATGGAGAGCTGCACAAAAATTCAAAATTCAATTCCCTCAATTCTTAACATGGTTTTTGCTCGTATCATAAACAATAAAGCATTTCAAAAACATAAACGGTACACCTTAGATAAGATTGCAGTAAAGGGCATAAAGCAAACAAGTTTTAATGGATAATTTAAATGAACCATTTAAGAGCAGAGCCTCTTCCATCATAATGCTCTCCCCACTTTTCCCACCATGATTGTTCATTCAGTCTACCGTACTTATGTGCCCCTTTCTCAGTCCAACCTTTAGCATCGTATTTCTCCCACCTAACAAAATTGAACACAATTAAACATCGTAGATGCATTTAAGTCATAACCAATGCTCACATGAAAACCAATATTGGATGCAAAGCACTACATGACCTTACCATTTTTCATACCATCCAGCATTCTCAGTTCCTGATTTTGCTTGTTTTTGTGCACTCCTTTCTATTCTTGCAATGTTACTGTAATGTCAAACATGCAACACTTATTGTGTCAAGAAGTTAAGGGGTTTAGTTAATTACAATAAGCAGAGAATAGCCAAATAAAAGCTATGACCTCCATTCATCTTGATGAAGGTTTTCTTGCCATGTTTCCCACCATGAATCACCTTCAGCATTCCGACCAGATTTTTCCACGCCTGAAAAAAAAAAAAAAATATATATATATATATATATAAACCCAATCAAATGCGAGGGCACCCTCTTGAGATAAACATTTACATTACCCAAGAGGTTGACAAATAATAAACACTATATCTATGGTTCTCAGCATTTCCCGAATCAATAGACCATTCACAATTGGTATTGCATCACAATAGAAATAACTTGTTGAGTGTCCTAAAATGACAGGTAATTTACTGAAATTGCAGTTGATGATAACATTTGATTCCAAGCAAGGTTCAGCAGAGGTCAGAAATGTTAGCCAGCATATATAACAGTATGAAACCTGTACATGATTGGACAAATATATAAATCCATGAACTTTCGGTAACCTGATATCTGCACAATCTTATTGTCATTTATCGGAATAGGTGGAATTCTGCATTGCATTACAGCTCTGTTCTCACATCATTTAGTAGAAAGTTCTTTGACACCACTTTTTTTCATTTATTTAAGCTATTTTGACAGTTTATACCATTTATTTGACCTTCATACATTCATTGCAATTGGAAAGGGCTTTAGCTGCTACAAAATAAGCATATAATCACAAATGAACATGAATTACATAGGTTCAGACACAGTGGAGATTAGTAGAGACCGCCTTTTTTTTTGTGGGGGGGGGTTGTGGCTCCAGTAACAAAATCTTAACCGCCAATATTGGAGCTGGCACATGCGGAAGTATGCTTCCATATGAAGGAAATCTTATTCTATCCAAGTATTGACACAATCAACAGACGCACTAAATATGAAACAAAACAAAAGTTTCTAGAACAGAGTCAACATTACATAATTTCAAGCTGCTCTAGCAAACCAAGATGAAGCAGCATACCTAACTCCTTATATCCAGTCCAGTCACTCTTCTCCCACCACTGTCAATTAGATCAATAAAGCCAATTAAATGAATCCACCTGGGATGTGATATATGATTCACCTTGAAGCATCCATGACAGAGAAATAGAAAAGCATTACAGCATGCTCACTATAAATGAAACAATATCTTACAGTACACTAATCACCTAGCTTCCATATCTACCAGCGAGAAATAAGATTTATAATTTGGCAATGACTTGCCAAGAACAAACAACAAAACACGAAATAGAACATTGAAGATTTTCATAAAGTAATATTTCAATGGGTAAGCCTCCAAGAGAAAATAATGAAAATAACTCTAAGAGTTTCCTCAAAAGCCTTATAATTTGTTGGTACGTAATATAAACAACTTTTGTATGAAAGTATAATGAACATTGAGGGATATAATCACATAGTATTCATTCAAAATATTACTTTATGAAGAACTGCTCCCATGTATTTATTTCCTGACCCACAGTGCTTGTAATTTGAAAATTATAAATACCGTTTCTTTCCAATCTGAGGAACCATCATGGGATTGACCACCCACCCTAGTCCATCTACATCTATGTCCATTTCTGCCCAGCTCTTCCCCACTTTCTCTGTACCAGGTACTACCATCTTCATTCGTGCCAGACTCGTTCACATTTTCATTCAATAAGTTGATATCCCAGTCCTTCTCATTTGCTATACCAGTGTCTGTAAAGGAACAAGTGATCATGGACAGGCATGCTCTTTTAGATTCCATCATTGCCCTAATTAAAAAATCTTGAAAGGAATTCTAACTGACCTTTTAGAACAAACAACTAACAATTGTAAAGTAAAAATCTAGTACAGATATCAATCACAAGATACCTCTTTTTGGCGGAGTATCACGTGATTGCGGACCAGTATATCTTGGGGTACAACGAGGATAGAACTTTTCTTGCTTCATATTGGAACTGTAACCATTATGACATAGAGCAGCATAATCATTGAGAAGAATTTTTAGCAATTGCTGTGTGCAGAAGGTATTAACAACAGCCAAGTAAAAGCACCATTATCATATATTCCACAAAATAAAATGTTGTTTGTTTAGTTGAGATAATAATGTAGGAGAACAAAAGGTAGGGAAAAATAAATTAAAGTACCCTATGTCCTTCCATCACTCTGTCAAATCATTTCAGCTCCACTACATGATAAAACAAACAACTAGATAAATTCTATTTTGAACTAGTATAACAATTCAAACACAATCCAGTCATTGTTTGCTGTGGCTATTAACATTTAACATCAATGTCTTTATTGACATGTCATATAGGTATATTGTTTATTAAATTAATGGCTTAGTGAAATTTAAGCATCTTCTTCCACTTGTGTTTAACTGATTACATAAGTACATTGCTTAATAAGTGGACTGGCGAATGACAAGCATTTTCATCTATTTATGTTTACACATTATACACACAGCCTCAAGTCATACTTCTGTATAAACAAACTCATTGTTCAATGCATCTATACTCAATGCTAGGGTAGATGCATCTTACAAACTAAGCCAAGCAGAAAACAGTTAGTTGAGTATGGATAGCTTCAGACCATGCACAAACTCTATAATGGATAGCTTCAGACCATGCACAAACTCTATAACTATGTGCAGGATTACGGACGTCAAGATTTTCATTCAAACTTCGCTGGGAGGGATTTGAAAGGCATTGTGAAGTAACAACCGTGAGTTTTCATAAGTTATATGGAGCAATTTTTATCTCCCACGAGCCTAAAGGTCATCTGCCATCATCAGCATATTGTAAAACATAATGATTTGATTCTGTATATTAGAAGATAAAAAAAAGTCTCACATCTAAGGATTAAAAGACAAATCATGAATATATAAACTTAAGAAGTATTTAACCAAACGGCTTAAGCTATTTTAGTGGAGTATATTATCTTTAAGCACACTTAATATAAGACTTCTAATATAGTATTATGAGTCATTTGATCAAAGACAAAAAATGAGAAAAAAAAAGGGAAAAAATGAAAGATAAAAAAGTTAAGAGATTAAAAAAACAGGAGAGAAACAAAAGAAGAGATTGAATAGACGGCTTTTGAAACTTAAAAAAAAAAGTGCAAGTCCGAAAAAGGCAAAAAAAGAAAAGGGAGAAGGAAAAAAAAAAAGTAACAGAAAAAATATTAAAAAATAAAAGAAAATCTCATGACAAATCGTAAATAAACAATGTCAGGAAATACTAATCAAAAGAGAAGTATATTATCTTAATATAAAATTTCTAACAATGTACGACAAGAAAAACTTAGAGACAATGATAGAAAATGGAGTTCTTGTAAATAATTCTAACTATCCTAAGCACCTAGCTTAAATTGGCGTCAGGACGCTCCAAGCGGAAGTTAACTTAGGTTAGAGACATTAGCTATGTAAAAGAAATCGACGAGACCTAAACTATGTCAGTTTCATTGAAGCGCCGCCGGCGGAGCCTTATTTACAGAAACTCCATGCTACTTTTCAAGAAATGTTGACATTACTGTAGTTCGGAAATGGACATAAATTAAAATTGGACACGCACTGGGGAGAAGCAAAAGGCATTGCGGGGCAGGCTTGAACTCGAACTCTGTGAGAGCTCTTCCTGGAATCGAACCACCATTCTTCGCTCTTCTCGCAGCTTTCACTTCGAATCGGGGTTGCTGAGTCGGAACAACAGCGAGTGACTTGACAGACTCGAACACGGTCATGCTCAAAACCCACCTTTCGACGATTTCGAGGATCGAATGCATGGTTATGCAGGGGAAGCAGATGTCGTCTTGGTTTGAAATCAAAATGCGCAGAGAAGCCTCTAGAACTCGCCGCCATTAGTACAGCATGGCATTGACAAACCGGGAGGACGAAGAGCGCCAGTATGCTACATATTGTGACTAGAGAAACGATAGAATGAGATCACGAGAAGATCTTTGTTTGCAGACATTTGACGGCGGCGAAGATCCCCAGTTAGAACTTCAGGAGTAAAAGAGAGAAAAACGTCGCCGCGTAGGCGTAGGCGGAGGAGGGGGTGTGGGTGAGATCAGATCGGGCCTGGGTTTGCAATCCCCAAAAGTCAAAATTCAATCACTTATACACGTCAGCGAAAATATTCCTCCTCCGGCTATTTCTCCAAACCCTAACTCCATTTCGTTATGCCACGTGTCAAGCCTTCAACTGCATCTGCTCCCTTATTGGATGGCACGTAAGTGGTTCTAGGCTCGCACGTCGAGGGCATCATCCTCCCAGTTCCTACCAATTAAGAGGTCTGTGTTTGAGGCGTGAGCGTAGTTAGGCCAAAAATATTTGTAGAGCAACCCCAACAATTTATTAATGATATAATTTTATCAATGATTCTGCCTCCTCTAAAATATATTCACTTCATTAAAAAATATAAAATATTTTTAATTAAATTTTATCATTCAATAAAGTAATTATTTACTTTTCAATTAATCTTATTTTTTTATATTTATTTCTATTAAACACCCTATAATAAATATAAAGTCACTGTTAATAACGGCACTTTTAAAAAAAGGCAATGATTACATTTTAAAAAATTAAAAATATTTTATTTTTTTAACATTCAACTCCTCAAAAAATGTCTTATATTTTTTAATGAAAGGAGTAAGATATTTTCTATTACTATTATTAATTTAAAATGCATGACATTTTATAAAGGGTCTATAACATTAAATTTGTTATTTTCATAAATGTTATTATTAATGGTATCTTGAAGAGAGGTTATATAAAAAAATGCAAAACAGCAAATTAGCCTTAAATTACGAGTTCAGAGTGTTTGAAACTCTAAACTCATTTTTAATATAATATTTTTTAATAATTTTTAAAAATAATACAATTTAAATTTTACTATTAATAAAAATTAACTTTAATTATTAATCGATAAAAAAATGATACTCTCTCAATTCAAAAATATAAGGCATTTTTTAATGAGTTAAATATTAAAAAATATAAAGTATTTTTAATTTTTTAAGATGTAATCATTGCCTTTTTTTTCTAAAAGTATCTATATTGATGATGACTTTATATTTATTATAAAATATTTACTAGAAATAAATATAAAAAGATAGGGTTAGTTTAAAAGTAGATAACTACTTTATTAGAGGTGATATTCGATTAAAAATGTCTTACATTTTTTAACGAAAAGAGTGAAATATAATATTAAAAAATACATAAAATAATTAGAAGAATGAAATAAATGACTCAAAATTTAAAAACAAGGACTAAAAAAATTATAAAAAATTGCCAACAAAATTTTATTGGTCTTTTTTATAATTTTTGGTGTCATTCTTTGTTATTTTTTAGTCAATTAATAATCAAAATTAATTTTTATTAATAGTAAGGATTAAATTGTACCATTTTAGAGAGTTAAATGAGAACATTACATTAAAAATAAGTTTAGACATCATACATTCTTTTTTTATGATATTTACAAAGTAGTCATTGCTCAACCATTATAGATAATCTTAAAAAGTATTGAAAATAATCAGAAGAATTGCAGTAAATAGCTCAAAAATTAAAAACAAGGACCCAAAAAAAAAATACAGAAGATGGATTAGAAAATTTTATTAGTTTTTTTATAATTTTTTAGTCAATTAATAATAAAAGTTAACTTTTATTAACATTAAGAGCTAAATTATATTGTTTTTAATAATTGAATGGAAACATTATATTAAAAATAAATTTAGATGCCATATTTTTTTTAATGATCTACAAAGTAGTCATTACTTAACCATTAGTTATTCAACTCAAAAGATCAATATTTTTCTGTTCCCTGTACCTTTGGCACCTGTGGTTGTAGGATTATTTTTCGTTTAAAAACACGAGAAATGAGGTGATTTCTCAAAAAAAAAAAAAGTGTCAAGAAATGATTTAGAGGCTTTGGAATAATTACTCCAATTTACTGTCTCTTTTTAGAAGATTTCTGTGTAGTTTAGCAGTTTTCTCTGATGTTTTAAATGTTAATATTTTTGTCACATGGGTAAAGTTTAACCTCTCAGCCTATGCTCCTCCCTACCCTATCATCGCTTGTTTGCCTCGAGTAAGCTGTCTCTAGCTTTTTCCTCTTGGTTTCTGTAACATCCTGATTTTTTATTCTTTATATAATAAAAAAATTGTGAAATTTAGATTTTGAGAAAAAAAATGATAATAATAGAAATTTATATTATTTGAGGTTATTTAGAAATAATATTATAGTTAGGTATTTAATTATGAATTTAAAAATTTAAATTTAAAACCACGTAAGCAATATTTAGTTAAGATATAATACGTAAATAATTTTTTTTATGTATGTGTTGAAAAAAAAAAAAGAGAGAAGGTAGAAGGAACAAAAAAAAAGGGGTGAAAGGTTGTTGTTTCTAAGTCCCACATTGGTTAGATGAGGGAAGAGAAGAGGTGCCTTCATGTATAAAAAGGAGGGGGTGTGTGCATTAGGAAGCATGAGAGGCTAAGATGCAATTTAGAGAAAATTGCAACTTTTGGCCCAAAGGTTTGAATAATTAAATTCAAACCTATAGTTTTTTTTTAATATAATTTGGGACTCACAATCCCATTTTTATATTATTTTTCTCTCTTCCTCTCACGTTGCTCGACGTTTTCTCACAAGGGGTGATTATTTTCTTTTTCTTCAGGTATGTTCTAACTTTCCTGTTTAGATTAGCATTTAAAAATTTATTTAATTACAAAATTAATTTTATAGTTATTTTCTAAATAATATTAGCTTTCTAGTGATATGATTATTTTGTAGGATAGAGTAAATATTTTGATTAGGATTTTTCTATAGGATAGTTAATCTGATGATATGATGGATTAAAAATATAGGTTAAAATTCTTAGGGATATAATAAATATTATAGAATATTTTCTTGAGGTTGAAACTCATGTTTAAGAATTTTTGAGTTAAAATCTAGATCTATATGGTTGAATTTATGTGGAATCTGAGACGTAGGGATAAACCTATGATTATTAAATATTTATTTAAGTATGAATAGGTATTTTTGAGGTTATAGAAAGGTGATTTGAGGCTTCAGGATAATTCTAAAATTTTTAATTTATTTTTGGATGAATTTTTAGAATGTAGAAGGATGAAATTGTGATACTAGAAGTGAATTGAGGATAAAAAAAATAGTTCATTAGGGTACGAGAATTTTAGAAAAGAATTTGGGAAGTTAAATGAGGCATAAATCTTAAATTAGTGTTAATATGGACTATAGATTTAAGACTTTCTAACTCTTTAAATTAGAGTTATTTATTTTAATGTAAAATTAATATATAGTATTGTGAAATAATTATGTAGATTATATTGACAAAGATAGTGGTGAAAAAGGAGTTGTGAAGGGGAACTTGTTATTCAAGACACAAGGTAACCATTATTAATGTGTTGTGATGAGTGTGTTTGTGAATGGTTATGTGTTGTTTTGTTATTTGGAAAAATTATGAATTATTGAAAATAAATACTGTATATACTTGTTTGAAATTATTGCCAAGTGGGTTAAAAATTTATTTTTGTTTATCATGATGAGATATTATTGTTCGGATATATTCCTGTTTGGATATTTGAATGATGCATGACTTGTCAGGGTATTTTAATGTATGGTGTTAATGGAAATTTCTGTTCGGTTAATTATTACCACGTGGTAAGCCCTCATTGGACCCAATGAGTGGCGTGTCGCTTGGTCCAACTCACCTTTGGCCGGGTGATTTGGCGTCCGAGCATGGCGAAAGGAGGATATAAGGTGCAGTCATGCAAATTAAATACTTGTTCGGTTTGTTTGAAAGTATTGTTCGGTTAAATGTTTTGTGTGCCCACTTAGCAATCGCATGATTAGTTACATCCGCATGCATCATTACATATTAATTTTTGGTTACTGGGACTTTTAAGTCTCATTCCCCGTGGTTAATATTTTTACAGGAGCGAGTCCGGCCGAGAAAGCACCAGAGGTGTAACTGTGGTGTATGAGACACCATCTTTTACGTTGCCTCTTATTTTAGATTATACAATGTATCTTGTGCCAACTTAGGACATATCTTCTTTGTGAAGCATGTAAACTCTAATCCTTTTTATTAAAAGTATTTATATGACCAAGAGGATTATGTCTGTCCCTCTTGATTTATGATCTGATTTGAATAACATGCTATGAGGATCATGTCTGTCCCTCATGGTTCTAATTGTTTTTTTTAGATATTTTAAGACCTGTGGTATATTGTCTTGGATGTATCGTGGTAGAAATTTTTCTACCATGATAAGGGTTCAATGAAAAATAAAAAAAATAAAAAAAGGATTTGTTGAATTAATAACTTGTGAAAAATCGGTCTGTAAATTTGAGGGTGTGACAGTTTCTATCCTATTCAGGGGGAATCATGAGATGGGATTGAGATTAAATTTTAATCTCTTATCCTGTGGTGCTAGAAATCAAGGTGAGATTATGATGTCCTGCTGCCTCAATAAAGTAAATAATATGGGAGAAGCCTGTACAGTAACATTTATTAAAATTTTAAATTACATAATTTATTAAATTTAAAATCAAAATAACACAAACACATAAATCACAACAATTTAAAATCAATTATGAAATTACATTAATCACAACTATAAGTACATGTACAGCTTAAAGTCAAGTATATATGAGACATAACACATTACAATAGTAATTATAAGTAATCTACATTGTGATAGCAATTACAAACAATATCTAAGCTATAAGAGTAATAATAATAAATAAGTTAGACACAATATCAAGTCATTATTCTTCTTCTTTAATTGAAATATGTTAGGCTAGTTACTCTTTTAAAAATAAGGCAAAAAATATCATATAAAAAAGTTATTAGACAAATAGATATAAAAATAAATTTTATTAATATAATTAATATATTGTAAAGAAAGATATTAACTTGTACTAATTACTTTGTATCATTAAAATTATCAATATAAAAAATCTTTAATTTTAAATAAGAATTACACATTATTGAAATTATAATTAATATAATTATAAATTATGTTAATATAATTAATATATTTAATACATATTTTTAAATAAAAAATAATATATATAATATTCGGGATGAGATGGAATGTCCCAAGGACAATCTCATATCCCAAATTGTTTTTTAATCCCATCCTGCAAAGTCTCATCTTAATTTTTTTTAGATTAAGACAGAATTAAACCAATTAAAATAGGTGCAAATTAAACATTCTTAATCTCATCCTTACAAGGGTAGGATTTTTTTTTTATTTTTCCCTTGCCCTTGAAGATTTTTTTTTGTTTTTGTTTTATTTCCCACCCCCTTGGGAGGGCAGGATGGAAACTAGGTTGGAGAGAGCAGGTGACAACTTGCTCCCATTTGTCTCGAGCTCGAGTTGGTCATAATTTAATTTTAACTTGCATCGTTTTATAAAAGTTATTTATGTATGTTTAGCTTGAATAAAATATTTTGCTTTTATTTGTGTATGTGTGGGTATATGTACGTACATTTGCTCTCTCATTGATAAATTCTAGTTCTAATTTTAGAGATTATAAAACACGAAAACACATAAAGCAGACAAGGACTAGATATCAATAATATAATTATCTAAATGAACTCAATCCAGAGTAGTTCCTCATTAAACCCAAATTAAATAATGTCAGGGATTTTATTCTTAAACTTGTTCTCGTATTATAGTGTTTGGGAAGTGAAAACAGTCTCTTACTTATCACACCTGAAGAATAAGAAACACAATACTTATAGTATAAGCAAACAATTACACACATAAAAAATTACTCACTTGTTTTTCGGCCAAGAAAAAATTACTCACTTTGATCTACAATATTGGGCACCATTAATTGCTTCATGGTTTTAAAAAAACGTTAATTAAAATCTCAATCTTTTCAGTAATTTTATATCCTTCTAATCTCATCGTTGAGAGAAATGAGCGTCCACATTTAAGTAAAGGAACTCAAATTGTTGCTTGTTAATTACTTATAACTACCTATCAATATGTCACTGCATGCTTATTGCAACAAGGCCAACACCTATTGCAACAAGCACATGTTCGAATATTAATAAGTAGCCATAAATAATTAACAATCAACAATTCAATGATGAACAATTAAAAACTTGATAGGCTTGATTTATTTTGTTTAAAAGTATTAATCCTGTTGTAACAAGGATGCATTTGTATATTAACAAGTAACTATAAGTAATTAATAAACATCAATTTGGCAACGAACAGGTTAAAAAAAAAAAAATCCCTGACAGGCCTGGTTGATTTTTTCCACTGGTTTGGTCCTACTAAAGTAAGTATGCATTTACATATTGGCAATTAATAACTACGAGTAATTAATAAGTGGTAATTTGAGTTCCTCACACCAAGGCTATTTTCATCTTTTCATCTTAAATCTTCACCTCCACCCCCCCCCCCGCCAAAACCCAATTAGGTTCCTTTGGTGTACAGAGGGAATTTAAGAATCCTGTGATCCTTTTTCACTAATAATAAACTCCATGAGCCATCGAGTGAGATTTTCCCAACATTACACATGCTTGAGCGGTGGCGGACCTACGTTTGAGGTGGGAGGCGCCTTGGTCCCCCAACCTCCCTCATTCCCTTCATATTATTGGGAGAAGAAGAAATAGTTGCAAGTCAGCAAGAGATATAGTCGAGAGGGAGAAAGAAGGTGAAAGTGAAGGTGAAGGTGAGATAATCAAAGAAAAGTACCAGTGGCGCGAAATGGTGTGAGAGACAAAAGAGAGGGGCCAGTGATGTAGAGCGAGAAATGAATGGATATGGAAACAATTTTTGTTTTTTGTTTACCTTATCTGTTATACAGTACTTTCTCTATTTTTGAGTATAATTAAATTTTAACCAACTCATGTACTCTCTCCGTTTAAAAATATAAGATATTTTTAGAAATGTTAAATGTTAAAAAAGATAAGGCATTTTTAATTTTTTTAAGTGTAATCATTGTTTTTTTTCAAAAATGTTCCTATTGATAATAACTTTATATATATTGTAGGATGTTTAATAGAAGTAAATATGAAAAGATAGAGTTAATTAGAAAGTAGATAACTACTTTATTGAGAAGTGAGATTCAGTTAAAAATGTCTTATATTTTTGAACGGAGGGAGTATATAATTTTAAAAAAGTTGATTAACCATGATAACTATGTTTGAAATTAAAAATTTTGGACCAAAACGCTATTGTCATTAACATTTATTTTCTCCTAATTTAATGATGCTATCCATTTATGAGGAACAATTTTTAAAAAAATAATAAACGCTTCTTAAAATTTGTAGGTTTGTTTATAAAAAAACAATAAAGCTTATTAAACTGGATCAAGTATCTTTTTGAATTATAGATTATGAATTTAATTTATATTGAATTAATATATTAAAAATATAAAATTTTATTCAGTTTTTATAATTTTTAATATTTAAAAATTTAATTAATTATATATAATAATCAATTTTCAGAAAATTTGCCCCCTAAGCTCTTGAAACAAGGTCCGCCCCTGTGCTTGAGCCAAATGCAGCAAGCAGCCTGCTGCTTCGCATACGGATTGGACAACATCATCATTTTCATTAAAGATATTCCCCGTAATAATTCGTAATTACTATTTGGACCGGACTCTTTCATTGAACCAGGCCCAACAGTGTGCACGCCACAACTTGCAAAGAATGATCTGACATCACAACGGATCTTAGTCAGTCTGTTTATCTGTATCATTAGTTGCGGATTTCTTTTTCGTTGAAATGATTTTTTGAGTCTTAATTGAATAATTCTTGGAATTTTTGCTTGTCAACATAACACTCCTCCTGATAGCTGGTGATGAAGAGCAACTTGTAATGATTAATTAGGCATGCCCCACCCTGTGATGTTGAATTCCAGAGATGTGACATTCCAAAGCCAACGAGGGCCCTTGTTCCACACCCCCCGAAATAAACAAAAATAAACTGGAAAGAAGAGTTAGCTTGCTTGGTTTTCCGCCACACGGACAACGTGGAATCAAATAACTAAAAGTGGCTACCGCAAAATGTGATGCATGCCGCGAGAATCATTTGATATGGAAACGTATATCTGATGAATTCATCAGGACACGCCATACACATACTGTAACCAAATAAAATTGTTTGATTCCTGTTTATTATTGTAAAGGATGCTTTTTGAACTGAATATAACGGTGCAACCAGGTCCCATGCTCAGCAGTGGATATACGGTTGATCGGCAAGCCCTTCCCAGCTCGCCGCTGAACGAGGATCGCTCACCAAAAGTTCATCCAATATATAGACCGTGTTTTGACTTTCAATGGCGCATCAGATAGTCGCAATAGTAATAATCCGGGATCCCGATCTCCATAAAATCTTCTTGAAATTTATAAACTCCTCCATGATCTTCTTCGACTTTCCATCATACAGAAATCAAGTTTCAAGTTCCAAGATGGCGATCTGTGTCATTACAACCCGCACGCGCAAACAATTAATATGAGAGAGAGATCTAGCAGCCGAACAGGAGGTACATGAAGACTGCTATGAAGACTTGATTAATTAGCTAGATACCCGGTCGTCATGATGGAAAAACCAAAAACACCTGAGAGGGTGAACAGGGTAAATAGCCGTTTGACCTGAGATGCTACCCCAGGATTTTAAAACAATCAAATTTATCAAACGAGTAAATAAGGCTGATAATTTAAAATCCAATGTGGTTTTCTTTTTCCGTTTAGCTCTGATGTTGTTACTTAACGTGTTGGAGGTTTTTTTTCTTTCGAATCTACTCACAACAGCTGAAACTTCTTAAATAAATGTTCTCTCTAATGCTTGGCTCATCGGAATAGACTTAAATAAATGTACTCTATAATGCTTGGCTCATCGGAATAGATGGGATGAGATGCTTCATTTTATTCCGCAATTATACTCCATTTCTCGCTATTAGTTACAAAATTAAATAATTTAATGCCCCGTAAGCGTAACAGGAATACAGTTTGTCGTCGTAAAAAATCACGTCAAAAACTGGGCCAGGCCAACTGCACAAAGCTACATGTATTATTGGAGACAACCAGCTAATGAGTCGTGACACATGCATCAGTCAGGTAGCAAATATAAAAGTGAAAAATTACAAATTGTGCACCTGACACTGGTGGTGACCTACACTAGCCATTAAATAAAACAATTCTCAATTTTGTGCCAATAAAACCTGCATTGTCATCATATATATCCTTATTCTTAAACTAAAAAAAAATGATCCGAGGAAACAGCCTAAATATGTTGGAGATCTAGAAGTCATTGGTTTAATTTAGCACAAAGAAGCAGCAGTCACTTGCGTGATTCTTGGGAGGGGAGTGAATTAGTGTGATAATGTGATACAAATCAAAGCAGGATTCGCCGCGTGATTTCTAGTTACACGTGTGATTAGGTCAAGTGTTAGCAAGTATTTTAAGAAAATCCAGCGTGTCAAAGCCGCGTGTCCGTTATATGCCCACATGACTCACAGCTGGACTTATTCGCGGATCCAACTCCTCACGTGCGTCTCTCTCTCCCCATCCTTCCACTGTCATTTGGTTCCTCTATCGTTGTTTCTTCATGTCTAAACCCACGCCCTTTTATATACCTCCCTATTTCAACTGTATGGATCACACATCTGTTTATTAGCCAAAGCACCCAGTAATTAAGCTCTCCATATTCCCTCCAGACATGGTCGGCGTTTTCGGTCGCTCTCTGAGCTTCCCAAACAAAAATCCTAGCCGTCCACGCATATCCCACCACATCAGGTCCATCAGTCTTCCCTGCAGATCTCACCCTCTGGTTTCCCAGATCAAAGACGACATCAACCAGCTCGTCTCCTGGACTTCTACTTCCAAACTCCACCAACAAACAACCACTAATCTCTGCCACGGTTTGAACCGTCTGGCAGAATTGCACGACACCCTCGAGGATATCTTCCAGCTTCCTCATGCCCAAGAGTCGCTCCGCCGCCAGCCCCGGTGGGTCGAGAATCTTCTACAAGACTTGCTCCGCTTCATCGACGTCTACGGAAGATTCCAATCCTCCGTTCTGGCTTTTAAAGAAGAGCAGTCGGCTGCTCAGGTGGCTGTAAAGAAGAGAGACGACTCCAAGGTGATTCTGTACGTGAAGGCTGAGAAGAAGATGGCCCGAGAGATGGAGAAGCTGGTGTCGGGAATCCGATGCGTGAGCCAGAATTATGGAGTGACGCCGACAACGCTGGTGCCGATAGGAGATGCTGAGGTGGCAGGGGTCATCGTGGATGTTATCCGCGTGACGGCGAGCGTTTCGATTGCTCTGTTCGGCGGGATCGCGTCATCGTTAGCGTCGAGGAAGTTGTCGTGGGGGCAGTTGGTGAAGCTGTCGAGGAGCGGCGGGAGTGAGAGAACCGAGCAGGAAGGCGTCAAAGAACTGCGGGTGGAAAGCCTGCACAGTTTGAGGAAAAGGGGCGACGAAGAGGTCAGATCAGCGCTGAAGAGGATGAGGGATTTGGAGAGTTCCTTGAGCCTTATCGAAACTGTTAGTGACGGGGTTTTTAGGGCGTTGATCAATTCCCAGGTTGCTTTGCTCAACACTCGCACGCAATAGGCAGCTACATTATGAATTGATGATTTTAAACCAGAGAAGGGGAACAAAACCTTCCTGAAACCATGTATTTATTTATTTATTTATTTTTACTCTGTGCTAGAGCGCATGCAAGTGCCCACACAGCGCGATGTTAAAGGGTGCCCGCGTGTAAACATGCCATTTTCTCCCCGTCTCGTACTGGAAGTCAACCTTCGCCATGTGTCAACTCTTTGTATTAACAACTATTAGGAAGAATGATGTAAAGTACCAAAAGATTAAATTAATTCATACAGTTAGATCTTCACAAAATTTTTTTAAAAAATAAGTTATCAAGGGATAATTTCAAACTAAAATTTTAATTACAAATTAAGAATTATATTTAAAACTTAAATGTCTTATTTATAATTTAATTAAACTCTTTAATTTACAATTATTCAAATCAATAATGATAATTTAGAGCCTGTTTAATTTCTGTTCTCATTTTTTATTTTAAAAAATGTTTTGCAATACAATTTTTAATAATAAAATAGAAAAAATATGTTTCCTCCGTATTTGTTTCTGATCTCGTGAACCCATTCATCTGCTACAGCTGCCTTATCAGTGACTGTTGTTTTTATGGACTTCCCGTGCTTCGCTGTGTATTTTTCGGCGGCAAGGTTGTAGGACGTGTCTGAGAATTGAGACGTTAGACATTTCTCTTTTCAAGCTTCAGCGTAGTTGGACGATTGAAAATATATTTCGTAAAATTAGGGATGAAATTAAAATCTGATATAATTAGTGAACCAAAGTTATACTTCAGCCGTTGATTAGATAAAATAACCTTTATTGATGAATGGAATTACTGTGACATTATTTGTCCACCCTTTTTTTTTTTTAAACATGGATTGCCATATGCATCCTCCGACTTATGAATCGCACCTTGCTCCTTTTACAATCCTCATTCACCATATGGGCTCTTGCGAGTTTCAAAGTCTCTATTAAACTCGCCTTCCTCTACTTCAATTCGGTCCACCCCGAAAAGGAAAAAAAATCGTCTTCCTCGTTTTTTGCTTGGATCATGTATTGTGATTGGTTTTGGAAAAATAATAGCAACATAGCCCATATCATTATTTTAGTATATAAATAAATGTATGTGGTTTATAAATATTATTACGTGTAATTATTAATACCAATAATATCAATTAAATATACAACTAAGAGTAGGAGCCATGTTATGTTTCACCTCAAACTTCGTGTGAATTAATTTTCAGCTGTTGAAGAAAGTAAAAAGAAAACGTTTATAACCATGCATTCAATAGTGAAGTGATGTCAAAATACAGAACGACGACTCGCATTCATGGAGGACTCGGGATGTTTGTGGAAAATTAACTTGGATCCAAACAATCAAAGATTCATGTATTTAAAGATATCAATACAAGAAAATGTGAACATGTACAAATTACACATGTTATCGCTGTACCCATCCACTTGTTTGTTTTCATTCGTCCGTGCAGCATATACTTACTTTGTTAAATCATCCTATTCAACACTTATTTTCTACCGAAAAATGCTTTTAAAATGTAGTTAGAGACGAGAACACGTGCCAACATCTTATGGATTACAATAATGTCAAATTATAAAAGTATATATCAATCATATGCGCGATATTTAATTTATGCGAAGTCAAAATGTTTTTTTTTTCATTATTTTTGGACTGGCGTATTAATCTTGATACATGTTTTTTTTTTAAGAAAATTAGATTACAGATATTGCTGCATCGTTATCATGGAGATATACTCCTCCGGTCTAGTATATAAGTCACTTTCTAGAAACATAATCTGGTTTCACTTTATAAGTCATTTGTTGATGAGATTATTTTGTTTCAAATTAAAATTCTCAAATTACCCTTAAAAAGTAAAAGAGAGAAAGATAAAAAAAATAATATTATATGATTAACTTACTTTTTGCTTTTTACTTGAGGGTTATGTTTGAAATTTTACTTACTTTTATTTCTTGTATTTTTATTATATTGATATTAATGAGGTTGGTAGAAATAATTTATAAATAAAACTGAAGGAAATATGTCATCTCACGTAGCTCCGTGGTCATGGGGATGAGGGGGATGGAGGCAGAAAAATTGAAATTGAAATTCTTCTTATAAGTTGTAATAATACCGAAACCAAACGCGCTACTAATAGCACTGCAAACTGCATTTTTTTTTTTTGTTTGAGCAATACAATATTAGGGCGTGAAGCACAAATGAAATGCGTGAAGCTGAACCGTATTCATTTTAAGTCAATGAAAGTCGGAGCAGTTTTTCTGATTTCCTGGTGTATTTATTTAAATATCTCTCCCCCCCCCCAACACACACACACACACACACAAGGAACTTTGATAAACGTGAAATTAAGTGTCTAGTCAAAATTTAACGGGGTTTAAGAATTGGATGACGTATAATATATCTCATCACATACCGTTGGGATCATGATTCATGAAGCATTTTGGCTGAGATTGCAGGGTCGTGGGTAAAGCAACAAATGATGAAGGAGAGAACGTAACTGAGGAAAGAAAGGGGGGTTCTTCAATTGAAAGCGAATAATGGCGTTAAGGCGCAAAGTTATGGTTGTCTGTAAAACGCCTCAACTCTCAGCATGATTGCAACCAAGTACGAAGAATAAACTTTAATGTCTCCATCCTACTGTTTACCAACGAACTCCCAGAAAAGCAACGCTAACGCAGCATGGCTTCCTAAATGACAGTGTTGCCTTTATCCTTTATCGGATTCCACGAGCCGGGCTTTTTGGCCACATGAAGGATACTGTTATCAGTTGGGACATGTGACTGTAGTTTTGAAAGTTGGAGGTGGTTTTGGTAGATTATGGTACGATGCACAGCGTCGGCGGAAGATGACCCATCCTGCTATCGTAGGTTAACCCAGGATTGCCGAGTCCATGTGAGCACGCAGCAACAAACGAACAAACAAACAAATTGCGGGGAGTTGGAATTCCACCCAGCAGGGCAGAATCTTCTTTTGAGGCAGGGGACGTGAATGCCGAACTTTTCCATTTCATGATAGCAAGTGCCAAGTCTCCCGTTTCCATCATTTTGCCCCTGCACCCACATTAACTACCCCCCAAATTCACCAATCATAAATCACTTTGAATTTAATGTAACTCCGAATCATCACACCCGGATTCGTTCTTCCTCGTCATGATCGCTCCAAAAGTTGCTTTGCCAGATCATCATCACTCCTCCTGCTAATCTCCTACTAATGCCTCCTTTAAACCAACGCTGCATTTGGATTTAAACTCACTGAACCACCGCTATTTTCAAAATTAACCTTACGTTACCCTTCTTCACCTTTGCACTGCACTCACTTTTCTTCATGCGTGCTCTCCTGTGACTCAGTCAGATAGAAAATACTTCAAACATTTTCGGAATTAAGCTTCCCCTGTTCTTTAATATTTTTTTAAATTGAACCATGCATGTTTTTTTTTTTGAAATAACCATGCATGTTAAAATGTGTTAGAAATCCGAAAAATAAGTGAAAAAAGAGTGAAAGTAAAAAAGTGCACAAGACGTGACTTTGATTATTATTGAATGACAAATTCTATTGTTTTGGGCCTACAAGAACTGCAGATGGAAATGTGGAACAAAAGTTAAAAAAACGAAACGAAACAAAACTCCCAGAAAAAAAAAAAATTAACAAAAGAGACGTTATATGCCAGCACCCGCCACTTTTTTCATGGAGCGGTCCACTGAGAAGTCAATGATATTGCCTTGAGTGGCAAAATCAAAACGGCCAATAGAACACCATCCGTATATCAAGCTTCCCCCATTAATAAAATTAACCCTTCAATTCAAATCATAAGCCGGGCCTGGCTCCAAGTAAACTGCGACATCTATCCCTCAGACAAACTCGCCGGAATTATGGGTTGCAATTCCTCTAGACTGGATCGCCTCCCGGCGGTGGCTCTGTGTCGTGACCGCTGCAAATTTCTAGATGAAGCCCTTCGCCAAAGCTACATCCTCGCCGATGCTCACCTGGCACACATGCACTCTCTCAGAACACTCGGCCCCGCTCTCTACTCTTTCTTCCGTCACCATGAAGATTCCGGCGACTGTGCCGACCGCAAGATCAAATCCAATCCGACCAATTCGCCTCCGCTCGTCGCTTCACCTGACCACGCCTCCTCCTCCAGTTCTGATTCAGATTTACTCGTCCATTCGCATTCTGAATCGTCGGGAACTGAGAATAACACAGATAAGGACTTCCAATTTCTTAACCCGACTCGTTATGATTATCTCGACCGCGACACTGCTCCTGATGACGTGGTTTTCATGAATTATATGCAGCCTCTGTACCCTCCTTTTTCTCCTCCCCAGCCAAACTCAAAGCCACCATCGCCCCCTCCCCCGAGCAGCTCGGCCTGGGATTTCTTGAACTTGTTTGAAACGTTCGAGAAATACGACGTGCGGTACAGTCCGAGTCGTGAGATAAAGGAGGAGAAGAGAAAAACCCAACAAGGCTCGAAGAATGAGGCTACTGAAGCTGTAGATGGATCCGATAACGGAGGGCGCAAGGCGGGCAAAGCAGAAAATGGAGAAGCTAAAAAAGTGAAGGCTGGTTCGAGGGAGAAGGAGGAACGGGGGGCAGAAGATAGCAGCAACTCGGCGAAAGTGAAGTCACCGAAAGGAGTGTCGGAGGTAATGAAAGAGATTCAGATTCTAATGGAGAGAGCATCGTATTCGGGAAGCCAGGTGTTGGAAATGCTTGACGTCGGAAAACTCCGTTACCATCGAAAAATAGCCGTTAATCCAGGTAGGCCCCTTCTGTAACTATTTCCCCTGGCTTTGCCTTCTTTGGTTTATTTTTGAAATTCGGGAATCCGGAATAAATCTCATGGATGACGAGACGGTTGTTGGTATCAGTTTCTTGCAAGATGATGCATGTGTTTACTCCGTTAGTTTCTTCAAAGTCTCCGGCCGTTACAAGCACGGAATCCTCACTTATGTGTCAGAGTAAAGACGAAGGGAATCTGCCTTCTACTTTGAAGAAGCTGTCTCTGTGGGAGAAGAAGTTGTATGACGAAGTCAAGGTATATGTGTTTCTTCTTCTTGTTCACAGACAAATTAAACCGGTTAGCTGGTTGCTATATTCTATTATTGCCTTGCCTCGTATTTATTGTTCACAGTCAATGTTGTTTCAAAATTGATGAATTGGGATAAAGGATAACAGCAAGCCCTCGTTTAAACCTTTTTAAGATTTTTAGAGATCTTCCTTTTAGCAGAAGTGTTAAATTTGGAGGATGTATTATCAAAGCGAATCGGGGAGAGTAGCTAGGGGTAAAAGATTATTGATATATATATATATATATATCAATTCTTTTTTTGCATTTAAAATTTGTTGAGGGAGTTTTGCCCTCCTTGTAGTTATGTCTAGTTGGATTCTGGTGCCGTATAATTTACTATAATCTGTGAAATCAGGTTATTTTAATACAATTTGTGTGGAGACATAACTTTTTATATAATTTGGTCGAAGGATCGCCTTGTGCATTTTGCGACGAGCTAAACAAAGAAATGAACCAGAGCGCGCATAAAATTAGGAATACCTAACAAGAATAAGCAATTTAATTATAATTTATCACAATTAAAAATTTTTAAATAGATTCAATATACCATATCATTTATGAACCATCCAATAATTATACTAATTTAATTAAATAAAATTTTATGTATCATTGCTTTTAATAATTTTATTTTTACAATGAAATATTTATTTAATTTCTAATCTTTTCTCTCTATTATAATTAATATAAGAATTAATTTATATTTAATGTTATTTGAAAGTCATATTTTAATTAGTTATGGACTGTGATAACACGGTGTCCATCTAAGAATTTCTCATGATTCTATGTTTTAAAAAATCACAAATTATTGTTAACATAGCAAATAGCATTGGTGGCTTACGTTTTGAATTTGAAAAATGCGTATGATTTTCAGGTTGAAGAGAAATTGCATGTACTCTACGAGAAGAAATGGAAACAGTTGAATAGCATGAACAAGAAAGGCAGCGATGCCCAAAAAGTGGATTCGCTCGAAAATTTGATCCAAATTATATCTACAAAAATGAAGATTTCTATTCAAGTAGTTGACAAAGTATCAAATACAATATGCAAATTAAGGGAGGAAGAGTTGTGGCCGCTGATCAACGAGTTTATTCTCAGGTATAACACGCCCTGGACAAAGCCAAAGACTAGAGTTTCTGATGAGGGCGGAGAAATTTTTGCCTTACTGGCTTCTTTCACTAATAATTTATTGATTTAATAAAAAAAATTATTTATTTAACTGCTCGAAGCTAGCGGTAAGAAACTAATTGGTATTCTTCTTCTGCTTGTTGATGTGTGGAAAAAAGGTTTCTTGGAATGTGGAAAGAGATGCTCGAGTGTTACAGACGCCAGAAGGAGGGAATTGAAGAAGCCAAGAGGTTAGAGGCGTGGTCATTCAACGGAAAGCTAATTAGCAGAGAGCAAGTAGATGCAGCAATAAGACTGAAGTGCGAGCTGCAGAAATGGAACACAAGCTTCTCGGAGTGGGTTTACGCCCAAAAGTGTCACGCCAAAGCTTTAAACGGTTGGCTCCAGAGATGGCTGCCGGACGAGGGCGGAGAAGAAACAGGGTGTCCATCCGTGTTGGTGTTGTGTGACAAATGGTCGCAAGCAGCGGACAGCATGGGGGAGAAGAACGTGATAGAAGGCGTGAATGAGTTCATTTCGGGAGTGAACGAGCTGTTGGAGAAGTACATACGAGAACTTCAGCCCAGAGTAACAGCGGACAAGGAGTTGGAAAGGAGAGTGAAATTGGCGGAGAGGCAGGAGCAGAAGATGCACAGGGCGGTGCGAGCTCGAGAGGGAAACACCCAAGAATCAGAAGGCGCCGTGCGTCATGCTCTACTTTTTCAAAGTGGCACTGCCACCCTTCCCTCCGCTCTCTCCCACATGTTTGCTGCCTTGCACCACTTCGCCGCCGTTTCTGCCTCCGCATACCAACAACTGCTTTCCCACCACATTCAACTCCACACCACCCACGCTCTCCATTAGTTCTTTTCTTACTGTTCCCATTGCATTCTCTTCTAATTTAACTTTCCCTTAAAAATAATACGCATATTCTTCCGTTACTCTGCTCTTCATTGGCAGCTTCGGGGTGACCTACACCATCGTATTTTTTCTTTTTCTTTTTTTTTTTTTTTTTGGCTGAGATGAGCTGTCCTGATTTTGTCATTGCTGATTGGATTTGATTTCATGAAAACATAATTTTATCGATACATTACATTATCAGAGCGTCGCTGGCATGATAAATATACGCTTTAATATATGGATGCATGCACTTCAACAAACCTCTTTCAATTTATAATATAGCTGTCAGTAACATAATAAGAAGGTTGGAAAAATGTAACATAATAATTAAAAAAAATATATTGTTAGGTGCATTGATGCACTTAATTATGCCACATACACTGCGAAAATCAATCAACTTAAAATTATAGTCAGAAATTACAAGATTAATTTTTTAAAACTCAATTTGATTATCCTAGCAAGAATATTCACGTTAGAAGTTTGATTGGATGTGAGGGGAGGAAAAATTTTAATAATTCTTTTTTTGTTTGGTTAGATAAATGGAATGTAAGAATGTACCTCCCTCCCTCTTGTTTAGTTAAAACAAAGTGGGAGGATTGGGAAGAATTATTAAAATCACTCGTCCATCAAGCACCGTATAAACAAACATATATACTCCCATTGAAATACCTTATACGCAGTAGTTCATGAGTAAAGTTAGGCAAACTCCCCTCCCGTTATTCTTCATTTCCTTCATAACATGAGCGGGATTCAGTAAGATTTGGGTGGGTGAATTTGACCAACATTGTAAATATCAAATCATTTTCTTCAAAAATTTTAACTACAAGATCTTAGATGGTAAAATAACCCACTTTTTAAAAAAAGAAATAAAAAACTTATTTTTATATAAGGAAAATCATAATAAAATTTTTCAAATTACATAAATGATAATTTGATATTTTAAAATATCATGACTTCACTAAAATTTTTAAGGACTCATGTGTTAATAAATTTTAAAGTAAAAAAATTTTAATTTATCTTTATTAAAAATAATAAATTTTAATCACAATTTTTGCTTAATGAATAACAACTTATTAAAAATCACAACTTATTAAATATAATTTTTATTATTAAAAAATAAATTTTTAAAATAACAAACCCCAATTATAATTTTTAAGAAATAATAATTTTTATTTAAAAAATTATAAGAACTAAACAAAAAATTATAACTTGTTAATGAAAATAAAATAATTTTTTTAATTTAGAGTTTATTGATATTGAAATACCTAAAAATTGTAGTTGAATTATAACATTTTGAGATGACTAAATTCTTATTTATATAATTCAAAAAATTTTATTATAATTTTTTTATTTATATACTTCCTCTATTCAAAAATATAAAGTAATTTTTGAGGAGTTATATGTTAAAAAATGTAAGATATTTTTAATCTTTTGAGGTGTAATAATTACTCTTTTTTTAAAAGTGTTCCTATTGATAATAAATTTACATTTATTATAAAATATTTAATAAAGATAAATATATAAAAATAAAATTCATTAAAAAATAAATAATTATTGTATTTAAAATTAAATTTAATTAAAAATATTTTATATTTTTAAATGAATGAGATAATAATTTATAATTTTTCCCAGAGAAAACTGCGGTACTTAGTTAAATGTACGCCGGGGGCAGCAAAGTGGAAAGACAAAAGTAGCCTTCCACGTCCAAAGTGATCTTTTATTTATTTATTTATTTTTTTCCGGATCTCTCCCTCTCTCGCACTTCACAGGGTGTCCTGGTAGACCGACTGATTTGTTATCTTCGTCCGGCCTCGGCGCCTCCCCACAGAATTGATGGCGTCTAGCTTTCGCTATTAGTTGGTGGAGTTGGGCGCACTGAGCTGATAATTCGAGTAATGGGCTGTTGTGTATCTTCGTTTTCCAAGGACTCTATTCCCCAAAGCAGTCCTCATTTGGATTATCAAAAGAACAACATCCTCAATCTTCCTTCCTCCTCCAACGGCGCTGATAATACCGCTGCTGCTGCTGACTTTCCACCGTTCTCGGAGTTCTCCCTCGCCGACCTCAAAGCTGCTACCAACAACTTCGGCCCCGATCACATCGTTTCCGAGAGCGGGGAGAAAGCCCCCAATGTCGTCTACAAAGGTCATTTTCAGAACCGTTCTATTGCCGTCAAGAAATTCACTAAATTGGCCTGGCCCGACCCTAAGCAGTTCGCGGTACCAATTTTACCATTCGTATTGATTTTCCGGCTTTTGCGAATTCTAGTCCTTCTGCTTAGGAGCGTCTAGGTTTAATCGGGTTTTCATGACTTGTTCATGCAGGATGAAGCTTTGGCTGTTGGAAAACTAAGACACAAGAGGCTTGCCAATTTGATTGGTTATTGTTGTGATGGGGATGAGAGACTTCTCGTTGCAGAGTACATGCCCAACGACACTCTCGCTAAACATCTATTTCATTGTATTTCTTCTTTCCCCTACTTTTTTCTTGTCAGCTTTTTTAGCTGCGTTTTGACATTTTTCTCGTAAAATTTTACTCGCAATTTTTTAAGGCTACTACGGATTCTGATGAACATGAACTTTGGTGTAGAAAGGAAGTAGTCTTTTTCCGTGAATCTGATTGAACCGCCTCAGACGAATCCTCGTTAACCATTCAGATGAATCCGATGGAAGATTTCCTCACACCACCTTTGTTCATGACTTAGTCGTTTTGCTTCCATGCATTTCATCTTTCTTGAGTCTGCTCGCACCATTGCCCAGAGAATCTAATTTCTTTACCCTCACGTGTCAAAATTATATTCATATGTGAATTAATGTTTTGGCTTCCTATCACGCCTTTGTATATATAGGATCAGGATTGGGCTCCTTTTTTCTAGCGGGAACTGAGAGCAGTTATTTTCATTTATGGCCTTGGCTTATATAAAGCTCTTCATGCAGCTGGAGCATAGTTGATTATTCATTCTGTTTTTATTAATATGGAAATTATATTAATAGTCATATAGATAACAGCTATCCATCTTTAGTTCAGCTTCATTAAGTTCAGTTTAACTCTTCAATTATGTGTATAACTTTTTTTCCTGCATCTTTTTTAGGGGAGAATCAGACAATTGAGTGGGCCATGCGGTTAAGAGTTGCCTTGAACATTGCTGAAGCATTAGATTATTGTCATAGAGAAGGCCATCCGTTGTACCATGACTTGAATGCTTACAGGGTTCTCTTTGATGAGGTCGTTATGGATAACTATTTTATAAGTAAATGTTTGGGTCAATATCTTTAGTTCATAATCTTTGTTTGACTTTGATATTTTCAATTTGTAAGTAGTGTTGTAAACTATCATGTAAATCAGGCTATTCATTTGCAAATTTATAGTTGACAAATCTAACTGTTTTGGCAGAATGGTGATCCCCGACTTTCATGTTTTGGTTTGATGAAGAATAGCAGGGATGGGAAAAGTTATAGCACAAATCTTGCTTATACACCTCCTGAGTATCTGAGAAATGGTGGCTGAATATTTTCTTTGAAATATTCTTTTTCCGGTTCTGCTTGACAGTATTTTATGTAGTCCAATCCATAATATTCCCCCACCCTTTTGTGTCAATATTTCTCACTAGAATTTAAGTGGAACCTTCATTAATCTCGCGGGAGAGAAGGTTGCACAACCAAGCTAGGGTATTTGTTGTCTAAAGTTAGAAGTCTGTAACAAACAACACACACACATTTACATACAGTTGTGGAGCTGTGAATAACATCATATATAATTCATATATTCATTTTGTGACCTTGGATTTAGTCTAGAAATTTGAGAGGTTTGCCCTACAGAGCATCTTTTTATCATTGATTTGTGAGTAGGCACCGATTTTTTCTGCTCAGCTATATTCTTGTCATCATGCTTTCTGTTTTTCAGGAAAGGTTTTAAAGCTGTATGTATTCTGATATATGTTTTGGCGATATCTAGTAGTAGTTATAATATATGTATTTTTTTGTAGGGAGGGTGACCCCGGAAAGTGTCATCTTCAGCTTTGGAACTGTGCTATTGGATCTTCTAAGTGGAAAACATATCCCTCCAAGCCATGTAAGTATTCAATTTAGCCATAATTAACTCCTTGATCTCATTTTTAGATTGATTTGGGCATCCTACCGATTAAGAAAGGTGAATTTTTGGTAAAGCAGCACTTAAGCCCATAAAGAAAAGCAAGGATAACAAGGTATCAAATGCATTAGATACTAGTTTATAACATAAGTGTCGAAGTAATGAAGAATAATGCATTCATTTCTTTCTTTAAAAGATCATAGTCTATGTTGAATTTATCTACCAAGGAGATTAATGGAAAAGTATTAATGTAAAAGTAAGGATTGACACATAGTTTTCATTAATTTCGAAAAAGCTTATGACCGTGCATTAAAAGAAGTACTTTGGAAAGCCTTGGAAAGAAAGAAGTCCGGTTTGCCCATATTAGAGCTATACAAGATATATATGAGGGGGTAACTATTGGTATAAAAGCATCCGGTGGTGAAACAAAGGACTTTCATATAATAATTGGATTATATTAAGGATCATCTTTGAGTTCTTATTTATTTGACCTAATCCTAAATATTTTGACTGATCATATTTAAAAGAAAATCTCCAAATGCATACTTTTTGTGGATGATATAGTTCTTATTGCGGAGACAAGAGAAGATATTAACTATAAACTTAGGTTATAGAGGAGGACATTGAAGTTGAAAGATTTTCGCATGGATAGGAATAAGACAAAATACTTGCATTATAATTTTGACAACAGATCAATCAGCAGTAATTTGGAAGTGAAATTGAAAGACCAGATTTTATCTCAAATGGAAAAGTTTAGATATGTGGAATCTATTATTTAACAACAACAACAACAACAAGCCTTTATCCCACTAGGTGGGGTCGGCTACATGGATTGCAAGACGCCATTGTACTCTATCATTTATTAAGCTTTTAGAAATATTATTAATTAAGAGATCACGTTCAACAACTTCCAAGAGTGTTCTCTTAGGCCTTCCTCTACCTCTCTTAATCGGACTTAAAGTTATATGTTCCACTCTTCTCACTGGTGCCTCCCTTGGTCTTCTTTGTACATGCCCAAACCATCTCAACCGATTTTCTACCATTTTTTCCTCAATAGGTGCCACCCTCACTTTTTCACGTATGTGCTCATTTCGAATTTTATCTTTACGTGTATGTCCGCACATCCATCGTAACATTCTATTATTGGAGAAATTGATGGAATCTATTATTTAACATGATGGAAAAATTGATGGAAGCATTGCACATAAGATATAAGTTGGGTGGTTTTATTGGAGAAAGGTTAAAGGAATTATTAGTGATTGAAAGTTACCTAATAAATTTAAAAGAAAGTTTTATCGAACTAATATAAGACCAATTATATTATATGAAGGTGAATGTTGGGTTTTAAAGAAACAGCAGGGGCATAAAGTTGGAGTAGTAGAGATGAAAATGTTGAGATGAATGTACGAGCATATATGTAAAGACAATTCGAAATGAGCATTTACGAAAAAAAGTGGATGTTGCATCTATTAAGAAAAAAATATTAGAAAATCGTTTGAAATGGTTTGGATATGTATAGAGAAAACTGCGATAGGCACTGGTGAGAAAAGCGAAACAGATGATTTTGAGTCTTGTAAAGAAGGATAAAGGAAGGTCTAAGAGAATACTTATGAAAGTTGTTGACTAAAACCTCTTAGTTATAATGTTTTTAAAAGTTCAATAAATGATAGAGTACAATGGTATAGTGTAATTCATGTAGCTGACCTCATTTAGCGGAATAAGGTTTGTTGTGATTGGTTTACCTTGTAAAACAAATTCTATATGGCTAGACACTAGGGTGCTTTCTGGACCCTTTGAATGTATGAATCAACTTTGTTATTTTTTTCCTAAATCCATTTGAGGTGCATGCGAACGTCAGTGCAGCACTTTTTACTTTGGGATTGTTACACCCAAACTAGTTTTACATGTCACTACCCAGGCATCTTTTTCTTATACAATTTCTTTTGGTGAACCCTGCTGATGATAAAACTAGATTGCTAAGAAACTTATCTTCTTTCTGTGACTCTGCACAGTTTTTTCTTGCAGGCAATGCATTAATCCCTACAGTATAAGGCTTGTTTTCTTCTAATTTAACAAAGTATTATTCTTTGTACTTGCAGGCTCTCGATATGATAAGGGGCAAGCATATCCTAATCCTTATGGATTCGCATTTGGAGGGAAAATTTTCAACTGACGAAGCAACTGTGGTTTTAGATCTAGCCTCACAATGTTTGCAGTATGAACCTCGGGAGCGGCCCAAGACTAGGGACCTTGTTTTCACACTCTCCCCACTACAAAATAAACCTGATGTGAGCTTCTTTCCTAACATCAAGTGCAATATATACCCCAGGATGGTTATGAAAGATGAGCTATGCATTACACACTAAATGACATCTTTTGTCGAACCATCTCTGGCTTTCACACAATAGAACATCTTATGGAAGTTATAACTAACGTTTATTGGTTTTACTTACAAGGATCTTTGGCCTATTAAAAGGGAAGAGAGGGGTAATAATTATGGTTATCTTTGCCATCAGGTTCCATCAAATGTAATGCTAGGCATTCCAAAACAAGAGGAAGCACCTCCTACTCTTCAGCATCCTTTGTCTCCAATGGGTGATGCCTGTTCTCGAAGGGACCTTACAGCTATCCATCAGATTCTGTTAATGGCCCACTACAGAGATGATGAAGGGACTAATGAGGTACTGCAAATCGAAGAGATAGTTATTTAATTCTTATATTTATGGATGTTGCACTAATTGTGCCCGCAATTACCTGGTTAGTTATCTTTCCAAGAGTGGACCCAGCAAATGAGGGATATGTTGGAGGCAAGAAAGCGTGGAGACTTGGCTTTTCGTGACAAGGATTTTAAAACTGCAATGGAGTGTTACTCCCAGGTATCTGTTGAATTCTTAAAAGAAGTATTTGGAGTCGTATTAAATATTTTTTGGGGTGGTTGTAACATCAATGGCATATTCATATGCAGTTCATCGAGGTGGGCACAATGGTATCCCCTACAGTGTATGCTCGGAGGAGTCTTTGCCATCTGATGTGTGATCAACCTGATGCTGCTCTAAGAGATGCAATGCAAGCGCAATGTGTGTATCCCGAGTGGTCCACAGCATTTTACATGCAGGCCGTTGCTCTTTCTAAATTAAACATGGACAAGGATGCTGCTGACATGCTCAATGAGGCTGCTGCCCTCGAAGACAAAAGACGGGGCAAAGGCTCTTCCTCTTGATATGCACTTCTTCTGTTAGAGTATCAAAAGGTGTGTGTATACTGTAAGTTTGGAATTTATTTCATTCAAAACCTGTAACATATTTTTCGTCAGTTCTTGTGCTACCTTTTCCCCTGTATTTGACGAAACATTTAATTGATTCTTACTCTATACGTGTCTCTGCTAATCTTTTTTTATAGTACAAACAAGCGTCTGCTCAGTTGTATTTTTATGCACGTGTAAATTATTTTTTCATTAGAGCTATTGCTACTTGTTTTTCCAGATAGTTTTGTACTGTAGAGCTAAAGGAGTTATTTGTGACCGTAAGGTGCCTAATAAACTTAAAGGAAAGTTTTATCGCACTGCTATCAGACCGGCAATGTTATATAGTAGTGAATGCTGGGCTCTAACGGGACAGCAAGAGCATAAAGTTGGAGTAGCAGAGATGAGAATGTTACGATGGATGTGCGGACATACACGTAAAGATAAAATTCGAAATGAACACGTACGTGAAAAAGTGAGGGTGGCACCTATTGAGGAAAAAATGGTAGAAAATCAGTTGAGATGGTTTGGGCATGTACAAAGAAGACCAAGGGAGGCACCAGTGAGAAGAGTGGAACATATAACTTTGAGTCCGATTAAGAGAGGTAGAGGAAGGCCTAAGAGAACACTCTTGGAAGTTGTTGAACGCGATCTCTTAATTAATAATATTCCTAAAAGTTTGATAAATGATAGAGCACAATGGCGTCTTGCAATTCATGTAGCCGACTTCACCTAGTGGGATAAAGGCTTGTTGTTGTTGTTGTTTTTGTTGTTGTTTGTTTTGTACTGTAGAGGTTTGTTTTCCTTTAGAAAAGAATTCGTATCCATGCCTAAGCTCCGTCTCTCGCCTCGCTGGAAGAATGTAGCTATTCTTCAGGTTCTGACATTCCGTGGATCAACATCTGTGAACTGCTGATTTTTGGAGTTCTTCTGGCAATTTTCTTATTCCAATGGGTAGATCGGTCACTTTCATTTCTACAACTTGCTAGTGCTTCTCCTCTCGAATGCAATGCACTTGACGGAGAAGGGAAATGGGTCTTGCATTTTTGGAAGACAGCCGGAAGACTGGCACGGTGTTTATGTGCAATAGTAAACGGAAATTGATTGACGGACTGGCACGGTGCGTGTATAATAGACAATAGCCAATTGGAAAAGGCCCAGGCAACTTCGCATGGCATTCGATTTTCTTTTGAAAAAGCACATTTCGAAAACCATTGAATATTGTCGGTTATATATATTGATTGAGGCGGGCAGCAGTTGATACTGATAGGATCCGAGTTTCGGAAGTATTCTTTCAGTCGAACAGTCTGGAGCTGACATGGCAGCTTACAGCGAATGCGATTCATTTCGCAATCTCATGCACTTTGAATATTCCTCAGTTACATCCGAAATACCCGACGCAATGTTTTAATTACAAGTTAAACAAGAATTTCATCAGGCATGGAAGGAGGCGAGGAAATTAATAGGTACATATTCCTGGGAAACAAAATGAAACAAAACCTCAGGATCAGGACTCGTAGATATGTACGAGTAAGAAAGTGAGAGGGAACATGCTATCATATAAGCACCTCTAGTTTCTGGACAAGTTCATTGGCGCTAGGACCAGTGACGATAACACTTATACTACGTTGAGAGTTGAGAGGGCTTAACAGACCCATAACTTCTATTTATATCTTCGCACGGGTTCATAAATTTTTCATTTGGTAATGATTTACAAAATACTCCTCCAATATTTGTGAGTTGAAGTCATTTACAACTGATCTAATTGGGTTTTTCGACGTGCACACAGAAAATGTTTCATTAGGACAAGTACAATTATAACACACCCAAACTCGCCCATCCAATCATGGTAAGGAATTGTGTTCGGGTGTAATTTAAAAAATGGTAAAATAATGAGGGAAAAAAAAAAAAGAAGTAATTGGCATTTTGGACCTTTATTAAGCGTGGGAATTTCGGCGTAAAGCGAGGCGAAAGTGGCATACTTATTGAGCCGTTCCACGTGTTGCTTAAAGAGTTTGACCAACAAAAGTGGACGGCGGAGAAAGTAGAGACTGCTAGTGGTTGGAGTTAATTATGTAAGATCTATTAATAATTAAATTAAATTACAGTCAAACGCTAATTGTGAGACTTCAATATAATTAACCCTTTATGATCTCTTGTAGCGCCAGCCACAGTCAAACGCTAATACGGACCAGCAGCGGAGTGCTTGTGTGAGATCGCGAGATGGAGGAAATTGAAATTGATGCAAGAAGTGGATTCTGCAAATCCAACTCCATCTTCTACAGTAAACGGAAGCCTCTGCCGCTTCCTCAAAACTACTCCCTCGACGTCACCACTTTCATCTCCTCCCGCGTCCACCACGGCGAACTTGCTTTCATCGACGCCGCCACTGGTCGCCACTTCACCTTCCACCAACTCTGGCGGGCTGTCGATGCCGTCGCCACCTCTCTCTCTGACTTGGGTATTCGAAAGGGCCATGTCATCCTCCTCCTTTCCCCCAATTCCATTTTCTTTCCCGTCGTCTGCCTCGCCGTCATGTCCCTTGGGGCTATCATCACCACCACCAACCCTCTTAACACCACCCGCGAAATCTCCAAGCAAATCTCCGATTCAAAACCTTCCCTTGCCTTCACGACTCCGCCCCTACTAGCCAAAATTACCGCAATTTCAAATCTACCGATCGTTCTCATGGAGGAAGACACCGGCGCTCCCATCATAGAGCCTAAAATCGTGACCACGCTGGGCGAGATGATGAAGACGGAACTCCGTGCGAGCCAAGTCAGGGATCGAGTTTACCAAGACGATACTGCGACTTTACTGTATTCATCTGGTACCACCGGTCCAAGTAAAGGCGTGGTCTCGTCGCACCGGAATCTGATGGCAATGGTCCAGATAGTTTTGGGTCGATTCAATATGGATAAGGAGGAGACCTTCATATGCACCGTTCCTATGTTCCATATATATGGTCTGGTGGCGTTCGCAACTGGCCTTCTGGCTGCAGGATCGACGATAGTGGTGCTGTCCAAGTACGACATGGACGATATGCTATGGGCGATCCAGCAGTACCGTGCGACGTACCTGCCGCTGGTGCCGCCTATATTGGTGGCGATGATGAATCGAGCGGCTGCGATAAAGGCGAAGTACGACTTGAGCTCACTACATTCGGTGCTGTCTGGTGGGGCTCCACTGAGCAAGGAGGTGATAGAGGGCTTCGTGGACAATTTCCCGAACGTCACAATTCTCCAGGGTTACGGGTTGACCGAATCCACAGGAGTCGGGGCATCCACGGACTCACTCGAGGAGAGTCGGAGGTACGGCACGGCGGGGCTGTTGTCACCTGGCACCCAGGCCAAAGTCATTGACCCTGAAACTGGAGAGGCTTTGCCGGCTAATCGGACCGGTGAGCTCTGGCTCAGAGGTCCCACCGTCATGAAAGGTGCGCCATTGTTTTGTTATTATGATCATAAGTTTTCAAAAACTGACATAATTCTTATTTTATTTTTTTGGTCTCACGTGAATGGAATCGTTGATCTTTTATGTTTTTTTAAAATCATATTTTCATAGACTTAGATCTCTAGTCAATATTCTGTAAGATGATAATATTCGTTTTAGTTGATTGACGAAAGTTATCAATTTTTTTGAATAACGTGATAGGAATAGTGGATCAAGTGGGAGTTGTGGTGTTAAATTTGTGACAATGAGGGCGTCTTGATGGCAGGTTATTTCAGTAACGAGGAAGCAACCACCTCAACCCTTGATTCAGAGGGATGGTTGAGGACTGGGGATATTTGCTACATTGATGGCGACGGATATATTTTCATTGTTGATAGGTTGAAAGAGCTTATTAAATACAAGGGATATCAGGTACCCGTGAAAATTCATACAAGTTCATTATTTTTATAAACTACAAGCCACAGTTGAAATCGCGGGTTTGCAATCCAATAAGGGAGGTGGAAAAAAAAAAATCTCTTATAGCTGTTAAAACACAAATTTCACTCTAATCAACTAGTTGGTTCGCTTCATTTCTATTCTGATCGGTATAGTCCTGTAGATATAGTAATTACTCTGCCTTGGAAATCTAGAATGGATGTGTAGATATAGGAATTACTCTGCCTTGGAAATCTAGAATGGATGTGGTCTCTTAATGTTGTTTCAATTATTCTTGTATTAGGTCCCACCAGCAGAACTAGAAGCCTTGTTGCTTGCTCATCCTGCAATTTCAGACGCTGCTGTCATACCGTAAGTCTATCTCCCAATCCAAGAGAAGTGTTATTTTTTAAAAAAACAAAAGAAAAAAAAAATCAATCAGAACAAATATAATGATTTGGGTTTACTTTATTCTACCGTACGCAAATATTTTCAGATTCCCAGATAAGGAGGCTGGGCAGTATCCAATGGCATACGTAGTGAGGAAGAGTGGAAGCCATGTATCTGAAAAGGAAATTATGGATTTTGTGGCAGCACAGGTGAGCCTTCGGATTCTTCTTTGTAGTAATATGAATTTCTACGCAAATGGATAAATATAGTTTGTAGGTTATCGAATTTGGTCTTATCATTCAGCTAAACCGTCTCCAAGAAGATAAATGTGATATAATTATAAACAAAATGTGTGAAAAATGATTACGAATGTGGCTTCATTTCTCTTGCGGGAAAATGAAGCAAGAATGTAGGAATACTTGCCATGAGAATCAGTAGCGTAACAAGTGGACGCGTCTGGTTGAAACAGGTTGCTCCATATAAAAGAATTCGAAAGGTGGCATTTATTTCTTCAATACCAAAGAACCCATCCGGAAAAATCCTCAGGAAGGATCTCATCAAGCTCGCCACATCTAGACTTTGAGGACTATGTTGATCATGTCTGGTGATTTCCTAGCTGGCTCTCAGTTTTCCTGGTCATGATTTATGTATAAATTCTCTTGCCAATTTTTTTTTGTCGCTTTGATGATCAATGTCATCGTTGTATGCTGGGCAGTTGGCCCCATTGGAAAGAAAATAAAATAAAATAAAATGTCCTGTCAACACTGTTGAAAGTGGTGCTGCTGCCACATGTGGTCTTATCTTTCATGGAAAGGGGAATGCGACTCTCAATTAATTTGTTTATTTCTTTTCATATCGTTTATTAAAAAGTATTTTGGTT